CACTGGCACCACCTTTGGGTCGCCGTTACCCCTCTCGCCGCGTGGCACTGGTGTGGCCACACCCCCTCCGCCTCCTCCACCACCAATGTCAGCACTCACATCGCCTTGTCCCAGTGGGATGTACAGTCCGGGCTACGACTCGACACGCGACTCGATGCTGAACGTCCGCGCGAGCTTTGCGGGCACACTCGGTGCTGCTGGGCCTATTGCCGCCCCACCGGCGCCACCTGTGCCGAACTTACTCGTTAATGACCTGTTTAACCGCAAGGAAGTTGCTGAGATGGCCAAGACACGTATGAAGCAGCTTCAGTGGGATAAGCTATCCGCCCAGCACGCAGCGGAAACGGTGTGGAGCAAAGCGACGGTCGATGAGCAGCGCATCACAGAAATCATGAAGAAAGAGGGCTTCTTCGAGGAGATGGAAGAAGACTTCAAGGCCAAGCAAGTGGCACGACGGGCGACTGCCGCGACCAAGAAAGACAAGATCGAGCTCAAAACGCATCTCAGCTTGCAGACGCGTCAAGGGATCGAGATGGTGCTGCTCAGAGTCAAGTCCAATTTGACAAAGGCAAAGCACGCCACGCCTGAGGAGGTTGCACACGATATTGTCAACTGCAACGAATCCATTCTTGACCAAGGCTTTTTGTCGGAGCTATTGCGGCACTATCCCGAGTCCGAAACCAAGGGCCAGCTGGGCGAATACCGCAACGCCAGCAACGAAGCATTACGTTTACTGCACCCTGCTGACCGCTTGGTGGTCTTGCTGATGACTGTGCCGCACCTCAAAGAGAAGGTACAAGGACTTCTCTACCTGACCAAGTATCGCGAAACCTACGACCTGATCAAGGAAGGTGCTGCCAAAATTCGTGAGGGCGCAGAAGCCATCATGAAGGCGGGGAACTTCGCTCGCTTGCTCAACATTATTTTGATGATGGGCAATTTCCTCAACTCGACCGGTGTGCAAGGAGGCGCCTTTGGCTTCAAGATCAGCTCGATCAACAAGCTTGTGGATACCAAAGCGTCGGACGGAACCACCCTGCTCCACTTCGTTGAGCGCACTGTTAGCAAGTGTTTCCCGGAGATTGAGTCCTTCCTCGAGGAACTTGATGCGCCTTCGGAGGCTTGCAGGGGTAAGCAGCACCTGACTGACACCATGAAGCACAGCAAAGCTGACGTTCAAACCCACCCCCAGTGCAATTGCTCGATCTCAAGAGAGATCTTGCTGAGCTCAAGTCTGGGAGCTTTCAGCACAAGAAAGAGTTGGACCGGTTCTTGGACGAAAATGAAGAGAACCTCAACGACCCATATGCCAAATTGATGCTGCCATTCCTTAGAGAGGCGAGCTCAGAGTTGTCTCGACTGAGCGACCAAGTCCAATATACAGAGCGAATCTACGGGGATGCGCTGAAGTACTTTGGCGAGGGACCCGATCCCAAGCGACGGGGCTTCCCTGCTCCGCAGCTCATGCGGACAGAAGATTTCTTTGGCATCTTCAAAGAATTCATCGCTGCCTACAAAAAGATCAAAATGGACAACGTGCGGATTGGCGAGCAACGACAGATAGAAGCAAAACGACGCGCTGCAGCAGAAGAAAAGGAGAAAGAGCGTCAAGAGGCTCTCGCGCGGAAGGAGGCAGGCGTGGATGACAGCCTTGTCCTCGAGACGCTACTCGGCAATTTGCGTCAGAGCGGAGGCACTCCAAAGAACAAGCGAAAGGCTCGCGAGCGCCGTTCGGCAGCAAAGGAGAATGTCAATGCCAGTCCTACTCCTATGGATGGAAACCCGTCTGACCTGGCGGCTGCAATGCTCGCCAAATTGCAAGGTGGTCAAGCAGGCGTTACTTCCAGCAGCCCGAACTCGCGACCGGCGCGTCGGCGCGATCGAAGAGGCACAGGAAACACTGATGGCCAGAGTGCAAGACGTGAGAGTCTGGCCTCGCATGGTAGCCTTCGCTCTATGGCAGAGAACAAGACTGCTTCCGAGAATGCAAGCGAGAAAGACCAGAACGAAAAGGACGATGAAGAGCCTGAGGCTAAGGCTAAAGCTTATGGCGGGAATGACCCAGCCCCTGAAACGGAGGACGAAGCTGATGCCGACTCTGAGGTTGCACAAAAGCCCTCAAGGACGAACGCAGACGGGCCAAGCGAAGGTGATGGAGGCACTGCAGCAGATGCACCGGGTAACGGCAGCCTCGAATGGTTTGATCCTGATCGCTCGGGCTTTTCTGCAGCGAGCACCGAGGGTGACAAAACGATAGCCGCATCCGGCTCGGGCTCGTCATTTTTCAAGGCCTGAAAATGCCACGCACTATTACTTTGTCTACACTTGCTATTGTGCCGCTTGTATTTGGCACTAGGAGCAACATCACATTCGACTTTTACATAGGTGCTTTATTGTCCGCCAGATAGCGATGATAGTGGATGAACATTGACGCTTTGAGGCTGAACTAGGCCGTTGGAGCCGACGCAAGGTATCGCGAATTGGTCCGACGAATGATTCGCGTCGTCTGCCCCTAGGGCCTTCGCGCGGATGCTTGGTAAGGGGAGCATTCCTGCGGTCAGTGGCAACAATTGTAACCTTACATCCGCGGACGTCCCTGGAAGAAGGGCGTGAATAATAGTCTTGCGAGGTCCGCTAATCGCAAATTGCGCACTTGAATTGACCGAGAGGGCGATCGCCTTTGTGGGCTCCTTTGCCGAGTAGTCCACGCGTGTCCGAATATTCAATAGCTGAGATATGTCCACAGAGCCCGGAGTGTTGACGATGACTTGTGTCGGCGGCAATGTATAGGCGCTTCCCAGATCGACGAAGACGTCTGCCACATTCGCGCCTGACATTGCCTGATGGCCGCTTGTCGCTCGGCGCCACCGCAATGACATGCGCACGACCTTGCGTCCCCCAACGTCAGGTGCCAGGTGGATCTCATGTAGCATCTCTGCTCGATCTCCGCATTTCCACACAGAGTCGGGCAGAGGATTCGGACCCACCTGCCGAGCTTTCAATGTAGTCACACTAGCGGGCTCCACTGAATATGCGAGCACCTCCACTTCTGAATCGAAATTCAGGAATTCCATGTCGATGCGCAAGCTGCAAATAAAACTCTCGGCAGCGGCTATGCTGAAGTTCTGAAGAAAAGGTCGAATGGGCCCTACCGAGCTGAACGTGTTCAGCAAAGGACAAATTGCGAAAGGTCTGCGGAGCGAAACACTTGAAGCTCGCCGAGTGGGCTCAACAGCGAAGCCTTCGAACGCTTCTTCTTCGGTTGCATATTCGCTAAAGACGCTGATAACCAACTCGGCAGCGCTGGAACTGGCTGGCGCAGAGAAAGCCAAGGCATATTCGTCCTCGGCTCCAGCTTGCTGAATACCTAAAGCGAATAGCCCCTGAGGGCCCCGTTCGACGGAATTGCTGCCCTTCGTGACTACAACCGAACCGGCAAAATCGAGCGGCTCAGAATGATCGCCTGACATGCCATGCATATCGATGACCGCAAACAGTCGAAGAGCCTTTAGCTCCTTGTTGACAAGCTTGATTGGAGCAGTCACCTTTTCTTGCAAGTAGACAACACCTGGCAGTTCCAAGGTGACGAAGACGTCGTGGAGTGATGGGACGACAGTGAGCATGTTGGACGGCGTGCTTCGATGTGGCAACTTAAACGTTCTTCCGAGATCTGCAGTATACCACACTGGAGGCGGTTGCATGTCTTCCTCTGCTTCCTGCGACATGTTGATTGTCACGCGTAGCTTGAATGTGGAATCCGTCTCAAGCTCGATCTTTGAGATAGTAGTTCTTCCTGCTTGCGTGCTCGAGTATTGACCTTGCCATACAGTAGTTCTGCCAGGAACCCACGAGAGCCCCGCAGTAGATTGGCATGGCTCCGTGTCTGATGCTAGTCCGATGGAACATAAGCGCTGAGCAATCTCTCGTCCGTCGGGTCGGAGGATATGCGAGGGTTTCTCTTGGCCCTCAAAGTATATCCTGGCCTTGCTGAATGCAAACTCTGGCGCGTCATCACCGCAAGAACGTTCAGAGTGAAAGCTCAAGGCGAGCTGAAAGTCGACAGGCGTATTCACTGGAACTTCAGCTTGAGCAAAGACACATGAAGCAAAGATAAAACCCTTCGCATTCTGGTAGCCGTAATCATACGTCTCCATTACTGAGGTGTCATCGGCATTTCGCTCGGGAGGAACTTTGATATTTTGTACTACTTGCAGAGCGTGAAGGCGATGAATAGGACCACGCGGATCGGCACCGAATGATAGCAGGTCGCAAGCCGCTTGTACTTCGCTTGCAGTGTCCCTTAGTTGGTGGGCGCACTCTGCTTCCAGCTGAAGGAGCTGGCGGAGCGCAACGAGCTGCTCTTCTTGGCGGTAAGTCTTCGTTATGCGTTTCAAGAATGGTAGTGCTGTCTCGTACTTTCCCCCTTCAAAGTAGTTGAGGGCAATTTGCGATGCGATGAGCAGGAGATGTCTTGTTTGATCAGCTCTCTTAAAGTGCTCGTATGCTTGCATGAGAACCTGTCGATCGGACCGGTGGCCTAGTGAGTAGACAAGCTTAACACACCAGCGCGTGTATGACACCCACTTCACCAATCTGAGCTGCATGATCGACTTGCTTTTCGTGCACGAGCGCAGGATACCCGCTAGCCCGTTCGTCCTTTCCGTCGCCATTTTCGATCATCTTGGTGAAGCGATTACGCCGCTCAATCGTGCAAATGCCCGCCAAGTAGTAGATGTAGCCTGGGTTAGGTATTTGGTGGAGTGAGACCGTTCCTTCGGCCAGTGCGCTAGTACTTGGCGCGAGCAGAGGACCAAGAAATGGAGGAGGGTTAGGCCCATGAGCAATGCTGCTCGGTAGCAGGTTGGTCGGTAAAGGTGGTGCGTGCGCTGGAAGCTCTAGGCGTGCTTGACCGCTTGTCGCCTGGTCGAGAAGGTCTGCAAGCATGCGATACCTAAAAACCGAATTGTTGAGGTATAAGATTAAGATGAAAGAAGCGATGTAAAGGAGCCTGGTACACTCACTGCTTCGCAAGCCAGCTCCAGAACTCAAAAGTCGCATCGCCGATGCCCCATCCTGTGCTAAGCTCGGTAAAGCGCTTAATGTGTCTCTGAAAGGTGCTCATGGCGAGCTGCAGCTGCGCATCGCTCCTCGGGTGGCCAGGTGGCACGAGTTGTCCACCGATGGAGGTCGCATACTGATACAGATAGAGCCGGCAAATCCGAATGTTAAGGGTATCGACGAGTACCTTCGCCTCTGCCCACCGCTTGGTTCGCGGTGGCAGCATGGATGTGCTGCCAAGGCACCTCGAGCTTGCAAGCATGTCCTTGGCCTCCACGTAATGTTGCAGCGCTGTATCGAGGTCACCAGCCAGCTCGGCAAATGTGCCCAATTTGAACTCTGCACGGATGTGCCATCCCTCCCTGGAAAGCGGAATGGGTTCGTATGGAGAGGCACATGCGGGTGCGCGTTGCTTGTGTGCGGCAGCAATAGGTTGCCAAACGCTTGGAGGCGGTGGGTATCGAGTCCGCTTGCGTCGGACACGGCGAGCCTGTTCACGGTAGTAATCGAGCGCTGCTTCGTAAACCGCACCTTGCAGGCTGGACACGAAATCTTCGACTTCACTCCGCGGGACCGAAGTGAGAACAAACAGGGAAGCCTTGGAATCAAGTCCCGAGTTGCGGCGAATGTAGCTCAACCTCGCCTCCAAAGAAGGGTGTGAGAGCATGCCGCGGGTGGTCAGAAGGACAACAGTCAGCTTGATCCCCCGCTCGGTCAGGATCCTGAGAGAGTCAGATATATGTGCAATAAGCTCTTCGTCATAAGCTTTGAGCTTCTGTAGGGTGCTAGCTTCATCCTCGCCTTGGACAATGATACCTGGTGGCACTTGGTCAGGCTCCTGCGTCGACGAGAGCAGCTGAGCTGGCAGTTGAGCTAGACAATGAAATATGATGTGCACCGCTGGTACTTGATCCCTGTATCTTCGAATCCATTGGGGCGAGATAATTCCATCAGGAAAGAGAGGACCGTTGAGCTGCAGCGGCGAGAGTGGTGAGCGGGGAGGAAGCTGCGAGGCAGGGGAAATTGAGGCTACACCGCTCGATGTCGAGGTTGAGACGCGCACCTTGCGAGGCGGTAAGCGAATGTCCTGTTCCGTGCAAGAACGGGCATCAGCTACACTTCACAAATAGCAGTATTGGAAAAACTTACACGATCGACGAGGACGCTGTGGAAAACAGGGCTCTTTCCAATAGTCGGGTCCCACGCCGAAGTCCTGCCCCTGGCAAGAAATGCGTTGCGCAGATGTCCTGATAGTGTCGGGAAGTGAGCATCGGGTTCAAGCCTGACGGAGTAGGAACTTTGCGACAATCTCTTGCTTCCTTCAGCAGGTGTATTCTGATGCGGAGGAATACCGAGCCCTGCAACATGCATGCAAGGGTAGTGTTGGCTCACCAGCTCGGACGGAAACGAGTTCATTTTGCCTGTTGGCTTCAGGCGAGTGAGGCTGGCAATACACAACCTCTTGCATTTCCCGACGCCAATGTACTGGAGTTTGGGGCCTGTGAATGAGCGCCAGTGGGCCTAACCAGCGCAACAGACCCCTACGCATATGCCATTGCGGCGTGCACCCTGGCCCACCTCATTGAGGGTGATAGAGCGTCGACGACGCAAGAGCGCCATGAGCCCATCTCAAGGAACTCGGCGACTTAATTTAACGCTATTGGGCCCTTAAAGATGCCGAGCCGCCCCACCGTCTGATCACACAGTTCAAGTCCTCTTCTCGAGACGTCGCAACTCCAGCCTCAAAAGAAAAGTCTCTCGTCGAGTCAGAGTCGATCGATTGAGCTTGGCGGGTTCGTACATGGCACACAGTAGAACGAAACCAGACATTCGCGCGAGGTCAATTTGTACCTACATCTTCAAGGCCTTCACGATGCTGACAGCGATCGCGTCAATGCCGGTCCAGGCTGGCGAGTCGTCGCGCAGCGTGCTGCCCTCTTTGACACCCATCGACAAAGCATTGGAGCTCACTTCTTTTCAATCGTGGTACCCCCTTTTCAAGAAGGTGTCTCCCAAAGCCACTGTACTCAGCCTTGATGAGCTGGAACCTGATTTTTTGGACTGGCTGGAGGAAGATGGACTGACGCTGCCCGAGGGAAGCGAAGGGCCGTCGGTGCCGCACGCAAGCATAGAAGGTGTTACAGACAAAATGGTGGACAGCGAGACCGAGACGTCTGATTCTGAGGAATCAGAAGCGGAAGCAAGTGACAGAGGCGGAGGCGTTCCAAGGCGCTTCGTGGCGCTCGACGAACGGATCAGGCAGGTCATGGCCAGGTACGATGGCCGCATCTTCCCTAAGCTCAATTGGAGCGCTCCAAGGGTACGTGCGCATCCGCTGCAGCGATGTACACATGCTTCAAGCACTTTAGCTAATTTTTTGGCTACTTCGTTTCAAGGATGCCGCTTGGATTCTTCCTGGGTCCAACTTGCAATGCACAACGCCAGCGGATGTCTACCTCCTGCTCAAGTCGTCGGATTTTGTCGCCAACGATGTGGCCCAAGCCCGCGAGCTTCTGTTGTCAGACAATACTGCTTCCACAACCACTTCGCAAAGCCCGCCAGGAGAACTTTTAACCAAATCGGTGCAAATTGGGCACGCGGTTCCACCACGCCCAAGCCTCTACCTTGTTCTCAAGAAGTGGTTTGACATGCCGTCATCCGCCGAGTTCCGCTGTTTTGTCCGTGCTGGTCGTTTTGTTGCAATCTCACAGCGCGATGAAAACTATTACGAACACCTTCAGCCTTCACACGTCCGCCAAAGAGCCATCAAAGCCTTGCATTCATTTTGGCTGGACTACTTGCATAGAAAGGAATTTGAGCCGAAGGAGCTTCGTGCGAGTAGTGGAGAAGGCGATCCGACTCCGGCACCGGCACCCCCCCCGGCTGCATCGAAAAGGTACGAGCTCAATGACTACGTCTTCGACGCATATATTACGCGGGACATGTCCAAAGTGTTCCTGGTCGACATCAATCCGTACTTGCCGCGAACAGACGCTTTGCTCTGGGACTGGGAAGAGCTCGAAGACCTGGCTGCGGGCAAGCCCATTCGACTGAAGCCGGATGGCGTCCACGAAAAAGGCACAGGCGACGATAGCGGCACTTCGACAAGTGATGAAAGCTCAGACGACGAAGAGTTCGAGACGGTGCTACGCGTGTACACGGATGGCAAGCGAGCACCAGAGGAGATCCGACGTCCACTATCAGAAGCTGAACGGCTCCGCAAGCGGTTACCGAAGCTGCGCGTAATCACATCACATGCCCAGGCACAACAAGCGGCCAGCGGAGCGGTACCGAAGTATGCTCGAAACATGGTACCGCAGGACGTGATCGACGCCAGCGACGGACAATCAATTGCGGAATTCGCACACGAGTGGGGAAACAGACTTGGCGAGGCAATGAAGGGTTAAGACCAGTTCATGTATCACTTGAAGAGGACTCTGAACGTTTCCTGTTGGCGGCTCTCGACCCATTCTCGAATCAATGGACGAGCAAGCCCCCACTACTTTCTTTGCAATGCACAGGCCTTTCCTTTGCTTCATATGTGCACCGTACCAATGACCTCACGCTGCCAAGGTGACATTTTCCATTGTGCCCTGGAAGGACGCGAGCTCCTATCAAACACCAATAAGAAGCAAACTATACCTGCTCCGTCCGACACCTCAGCTAGGAGCTGCGCAGATTAAGCTTGTCGCCCAAACCACGCGTGTGTGTGGGATAGCACTTTCGATACGTGTCGCAAGCTCATCAAGTCGGAAGCGTGTACCGTGACGCTAACATTAGCCTAACCCGTGTCGCGAGGAACTCAGCTCACAAAGTGCTTCAGCCGATACTCACAACACGAAACTGAGTAGGAAAATGGCGCCTCAGTACCAAGTACTCGCAGGAGTCGGAGCCGAGCTGATATGAGGTTGACACTGGTCGCTTGACTTGTATGTCAAGTCGTCCTCCAACTCTGTCTTCCTGTAAACAAGTTACCTTTCTCACAACAGACTGCTCGCCACTTCTTCCGCAAAACAAATCCCGACTACGATCAAGATGTTGAACGAAAACGACTGCCGTCGGAACACCTTCCAGTTCGAGGCGTAGTCTTTCCAAAATGAGCACATCTACCTCCACGTTTGCGAAGGCACGCTCAATCTCGTCACCCCTGATATTCTCCCTGAGCTTTGGCAGATGATTGTGACGAAGGTTATGATGGCATTCGGCATGATGGCGGCCTCGCCGCATTCCCCACAGGGCTTGCTATAGTTGTTCGCTGCCGACTTCTCGCAAGAGATCGAATCGATCACAGTGAAAGCGTCGCTGCTTCACAGTGCGAGCGTCTTCTCACTTTGGCTTTAATCACTCGGTCGCTCGTAGTCTGCGCTCCAGGACATCCACCTGTTGACAATTTGACTGGTCACGGCCATCGACGTAGTCTTGAAGAGCTTGACGAAGCCTTACAAGCTCTCCATGCTTTTGTCTGTTTCGCATGAGAAGGATAAAGCATATAAGCGAACAGCGAACAGCGAACAGCGAACAGCGAACAGCGAACAGCGAACAGCGACCTCACACTCTATGCTAACACTGTTACTACACCACCCTGCGCGTGCTGCAGAACGCAACAAATCCATCTATACTCGGATCCGCAGATTGAGGTTCACGTCGAGTGATACCTTGCAAGAAGCCCGCTGGCGTACTGCAGCTGCCCAGAACAATCTCCTCGATCAAATCGGCCACCACCACCCAAATATGAGGAATCTGAAAGATTCAACGTCGGTCATGAGCCTACTCGGCTCGAAGCTCAATATCCCGTGCTACATGGTGTGTGAGGAGTGAGCTGGAACAACAGCCGTCGTCGACAGCAGGAAGGGATATTTTTCGGAAACGGGAAACTGGATCCGCTTCGCCGAGGGATCGAGGTGTCAATGGTGGCCGACCGCACGGACAGTACCAAACCTCCGTACGCTCGTTGAAACTCTGTCCAGCTTCAAGGTGCAACTTGCAGAAGCTCATCTCGCCGATCCCGAATTTGTAGGCGTGCCCCTTCAGACTCGTCTTGCAGTATCACCTCACGCAAAGGTGGGCCATGCAGCCCAACTGCTGGTACTCCAAATACGGACATTGCTGGGGCCGGGGATGCTGTGATTGAAGTACCCCTCGGCGAGCCGCCATCGGCCAATTGGCGATTGGGGCGGCGGCTGTTCGCCAGTTCGAACAAGGCAGCACAAGCATTGCATTCCCCGAATGGCTTGCTCAGCCTCTACCAAAAGAGTTCCGAGGAGTACGATGTACCGGTCGAGCAACATGCATTCATTGAATTGGTCCATCATCCACAGCGAGCGCTTCGTATTGCGCTTCAGCTCGCCAACAAGCTGGGCAGGCTAGAAGATCATTGCGACATGCCATCTAAATGCGCAATGTTCTATGGGCGTCGTGGCGAATCCACGCTCGACTGTTGTGCTTGTACATCACTATGTGCGACGTCCTTTACTGAATGCTCGTGCTCATGAATATGCTCTCCTTCGCCCGCGCCCTGTCCTATCCCAATGGTAGACTGCGACCCCCATAGCGATCTGTAGAGACCGTCGCGCGCCATCAGGTCGTCGTGTGTGCCTTTCTCCAAGACTTTGCCGCCGCGGAGCACAAAGATCACGTCGCAATTGGAGATCGTTCGCAGGCGGTGTGCGACTGCAAGTGGTGCATAAGCGTGTCAGTGAACACTTTCAGCGCAGCTCGTATTCAGCGTGCAGCGAAAGACGCACCAAAGATGGCTGTTCTGTGATTGTCCAGTAGCGTAGTATTGATATTGCGCATCAGCTCTGTCTCGGTGTAGCTGTCTAATGCAGAAGTCTGAGGCGAATCGCATTTTCAGTTGAGGCTCCCTTGGAAGCCATGAAGTAGACGACAGATTGGTACTCACTGCCTCATCAAAGAAAAGGATCTCTGGATCCTTCAGCAGCAGCCTGGCGATGGCCAGTCGCTGCTTCTCTCCGCCTGAGATCATCAAACCCCTTTCACCGACTTTTGTCTCATACCCGGCTGGCAGATTGGACACAATTTGATCCACCTTAGCCCTCTGCGCCGCATGCTGCACCTCTGCATCTGAAGCATCTAACCGACCATACCGGATGTTGTGCATGATATCTGCATTGAACAGCGGCGTATCCTGGGGCACGACTCCAATCGCTTTGCGAACACTGTCCAGAGAAACGTCGCGGATGTCTTGCCCATCGATCGTGATTCGTCCGCTCTGAGGTTCGTAGAAGCGGAAGAGCAGACGGAAAATCGTCGATTTGCCGCAACCAGAAGGCCCGACGAAAGCGACCTTGGAGCCTGCGGGAATGGTGAAGCTGCAATCGGTAAAGATGGACCGATCCGGGTGGTAGCCAAATGTGACGTTTTCGAACTTGATCTCTCCGCCCGTCACACGGAGCGGTGGTGCATCCGGATTGTCCTTGACCTTGACGTCGACATTTTCAAGGTTAAAAAGTGTCTCCATGTCCACAAGCGATTGCCGCAGCTCGCGATATACCGTGCCGAGGAAGTTGAGCGGCAGGGAGAGTTGGAAGACAAGTTGATTGACCATGACGAGGTCTCCAACAGTCATCGTTCCCTTCATAACACCTTGCGCCGCAAGAAGCATCATCACGGTCAAACTCGTCGAGAAGATGATGTTCTGCCCAGAGTTGAGCGCAGCTAAGCTGGTCGCGACCTTGACGCTGCTCTTTTCGTAATCCTTCATGGCTGCATCGTACTTGTCCACTTCGTGCTTCTCGTTGTTAAAGTACTTGACTGCTTCGTAGTTGAGCAGCGAGTCGACAGAAGTTGTCGCAGCGCGATTGTCCGCCGCGTTTGCTTCCTTGCGGAAGCGCGTGCGCCAGCTTGTCGTCTTGATCGTAAACCAAGAGTACGCAGCCATCGTGACGGCAGTGACAGCGGCAAAGGTTGGCCCGCATTTGTAGCTCAAGATTCCGCAGACCATGGTGATCTCGAGTGCGGTAGGAACGATGTGGAAGACGATGGAGGTGAGCAGGAACGATATACCCTTGGTACCGCGGTCGATTGCACGTGTGAGACCGCCGGTCTGTCGGGACAAGTGCCATCCAAGATCGAGCGCAAGGAGGTGAGTGAAGACGCTCTTCGCGACGCGCCGAATCGAGCGTTGGGCGACGTTTGCAAAGATTGCGTTCCGAAGCTCTGAGAATACTAAAGCACCTATACGGGCTAAGCCGTACCCAATAATGGCACTTCCTGCGACAACGTAAACGGTATTGGGATTAGTCATGTCCAACGGAGCTTGGACCGTCTCATTGAGCTTGTCGATGATCACTTTGAAGAAGAACGGTACTTGGACGTTCAGAAGCTAAAACGCGCTATTATTAGTCAGCAAATCCCAAATGAGTCACAGAACTGAGCCGCTCACCTTGCCGCCAAAGAGTAATGCAAGTGCCAAAAGCACTCGCCGCTTGGTACTCCAATCACCCTTGGGCCAGACATGCTGCATGAGCTTCTTGATAATATCCCAGTCTGCAGCACGCTGTTGTTCAATTGTTGTCTTGGACGCCGCGTTCAGCCGCAAAGGATCGTTCCCGTCTAGCTGCTTTGCTGCAACCTCTTCCTTGCCGTCTTTGCTTCTTGTTGGCAACTGAACCGGTGGAATTTTGGCTGTCGCAGCCGTTTGACCCCCACCGACTGTGGCCGGCGCTGTTGGATCATCATTACCGCGCTCTGCCATGTTTCGGTACCCATGGAGAAGCCTCGGTTGTAAAGTTGCTGACGGTCGTAGCCGCCCTGCGGTCCACAGCGGCCCCGAGGGTGCCACTGACCGCGAAGAAACACATTGCGTAGAGAAGCAGCATCGAGTCGTTGATCGCACCACACAGCGGTCTATTGAGGAAGAGCTCCTGCTCGCCAGAGACGCTTGAACCGCAGACTTGAAGGCTAATGCTCTTCTATCACAAAGGCGGAGCGCGCCCCGTACCTGCGCTTGTCGTCGAAGAAGATGCGACATGGCGAGCGATGGGTCGCGCGGTTTGCTCGATGGCTGGGGTATGGACCATCCACGTAGCGGCCAGCGTTTGTCCAGATTATTTTGATGTCGTCAAGGCGTTGAATATACGGCCCACTCGTATACATCAAGCAGAAAAAGCTTGCATCCCCATCGATCACTTGGCTATGAAGACTATGACGGTGATGTCTGTCAGTACGTGGTTTCACAGTTGGGAATTTCGGCCATCGATCATCGATCACGCTATTATTGTATTATATTATGTTATCGCGACCAAAATCGCCGTTCACTGCTGGGCATAGTCAGGCTTTTCTCGATGTGAACCAATCATCATCCAACATCTTCATAATCTGGACCTTGCCTTTGAGGCTATCAAGACTGGGTCAATCCCAAGCTGTGAAATTCCAGCGAGCTTGCATACCAGGAAAGCCACATCATAAACCAAGATTTATGCTCCTAACCACCCGGAACTTGTTGTTAGGACATAGGTAACCCGGCGCACCCGCTTGCTCCCACCGGGCTCGGATTAGGGAGTCAAAATCAAGCGACCGCTGAAAGATCAACATGTTCTTGTTTGAAAGGATCGATACAACTGACACCTTGATCTCAGCCTCGTACATTACAAACCGGCATAGATAAGAGAACTGGATGACTGGCTGCTTGCTGGCCTCCCCGGTCGGGCTCGAACGATTCACACTCAGCCTCGTGCAGCAAAAGCACACACCAAGTTCAACTCTTCGAGATGCGTCACCAACTTTTCCATCTTTGGCGGTGTGACGAGCCAACCGAACATTGCACTCAGACTCCCTTACCATCCGTTTGCATGGGATGCAGCTTTGAAGTGTTGCGACTGTTGTTGCCGCGTGCTGGTCCAGCATGCGGTGCACCAGCCTCTCCCTTATCTCCCACGATTCCCATGCGGTAAATGAGTAGGCCCAGACCCAGCGCTACGCCCGCTCCGATGAGCATTTGATTTTGGGAGAACTTTTGATCATCGTTCTGCATTGCCCCGCATCACAGCCGCACATCGCAATTGTCGATCGCGAGACAACCGGTGCCCAAGGTCCAAGACGAATGTCAGCAGATATTGAGGTCAGAACACACGACCAATATTGCACCCACCTTAAACGGGGGGCCAGGTCCGGTGGCAAAGCCTGCGCGCAGTTGATTTTTTGCCACTGGTGTCGCACCCCTACAGGAGTGGCGAAGGCTCCGAGCAGCAGCAATGCCGTACGTTGTGGGGCGGACCATCTTGGTATGTGATTTGACGATGTTCTGTTCTTCCCTTTGTGGCTACCAAGTCCTCTTATCATCTCGGTTCTGCGCATTATCTTGAACCTCGTAGCAGAGAAGAACGACGCACATTTGTGATCCCGAGATTGCATTCAGTGTACGGCAGCCAGGTGTACTAGGGTCTTGTATGCTTCTTGCATTGCGAGTCGATGATGCTGCGATTAATCAGCATCCTCACCAGCATCTGCGTCGAGAATCAATGATCACAACCCTTATGACGCACCATATCTCTTCTGTGGAGTATGAAGTACCCTGCAGCTCATCTACAAATTGTACCATCACAGTTCACGGTGAGCATTCTACTTCTGGGAAGTTAATGACTAGCTACGAGTCCGAGCAGCTTTCCAAACCGGGCTGTAGCAAGATGACCATGGCTGCATCTCCAGGGCGATCTTGTCTCTTTTACTTGCTAGGGAAGCCTGCCCTCAGTCTCAGAAAGGCACAGTTCCCCTCACGCCTACCAGCACCGGTCGTCACGGCGAGAGGCTTACGCATTAAGGACAGTCAGGGTCGCGAGCGCAATATCATTCCAAACCCAAGCGCGGGAACGGGTGCTGCACAATCGGAAGCGAATCAGGTTCGCTATGAGAAAGGGCGAGAGGCAGCGGGGTTGAACTGCGCGAAGTGTGGAACGAGTAGCGGCAAGACCTCGGTGGGCTGCTTAAACGAAGCAGTTGTGCTCTCGATGATTGCAACTGATCCAAGTATTTTACCCTTGGACGCATAGGGCGATATTGATGCAAAGCACAAAGTACCTGGCAGATCACCCGAGTCATCGTCGATCCGAGCGCAGCATCCCAACTGGGCCCTTCTCGCCAGCGCGGCCATCTTCACAATGGGAGTGGCCTGGTACTCAGCGGAGAACCTGCTTCCTACCTCCGGCACCGCACCTATGCACCTACCGTCATTGCACGTACAAGCGCTGCCAAGCTCGCGTGCTCGTCTACTGCGTGTGACATCAGATGCCAGGGGGGTTACCTCTGCCATCACTTTGGAGCCTGAAGGTGGAGGGGCGTGGAGGAACGACGGCACGGCGAGCGTGATGGAGATGGAGACGATTGGCAAAGGTCAGGCGGTGCTTTGAGCCGATTGCGCTGTGTCCAAGAGTCTGTCGCGCACAAATGAGGCCATGAACCAACAACTCTATTCCACGCTTTGGCCACGCTTCTTCAATCCTTAAACCTTTGTAAATAAGAGTCGCTGGCGATGTACGCACTCAGTACATTGATTTGGCGGCGTCGGCTTACATGCACCCCCTGTCTGCCAGCACAATTGGCAGCTCGTGTTCTCGCACGTGCATTTCTGGGACTGCTGATCGATGTTACAGCGGCGCGGTACCACCCCCGCCCATCATGTTTCTCATCATGTTCGCCATCCCGCCTCCTCCCATCTGCTGCATCATCTGCTGCATCTGGGTCATATCCGGCATTCCACCAGCACCACCGCCAAATATGTTCCCAAGTGCGCCTAACCCCGGAAATCCTCCGATTCCTCCTCCGAAGCCTCCAGCCAGGTCAGCCAGGCCAGGCGGCATAGTTCCGCTTTGGATTTGTTGTATCAGTTTCTCCCGCCCGCCAGGCTGGCGGAGCTGGGCCTTTATCTCAGGAGGCAGAGAGTTCTGCATCTGCATGATCTGCTCGCGACTGACGCCCGGTGGTAGCGGGGGCGGTGCACCACTAGTGCGCCCGCCAGCGCCGCCACGTCCTTGCATCTGTTTCAGCCAGCCAGCCTTGCCACCCATCTTCTTGACCATGCCCGCGACCATCTTATACTGCACGAGGAACTCTTCCACCTCACGCACCGACGTGCCGGAGCCCTTGGCGACGCGCAGCGCACGCGCGGTCATGCGCACGCGCACCTGCTTCTTCTTCTTCCTGCCAGGCTTATCATTCTGCTGCTGCTGCGCAGTAAGCTCCTTCGAAATCTTCTCGGCGACTTGCGCATTGGAGGCGCCAGGCGATTCGATGGGGGCGGTAAAGAGCGATCCATCTGAGTCAAGCTCTTCACGCGTCATACTGTCAGTGATGTAGAGCATGCGCTTCATCTTGTTGCCCGCTTCATCATCGCCACCTTGCCCCATCATCTGGCCCATGCCGGGAATCATGCCTGCGAGCTTGGAGAGTGGACCCATGCTCATGATGTTGCCAATCTGCTCGCGCCAATCTCGAATGCTAAAGGTGCCGCCTTCCTCTATCTTCTTCATCATCTCTTTTTGCCTCTCTGGATTCTGCATCGTCACCTCCTGCACCTTATCCATGAGACCAGCCATGTCCCCCATGCCGAGCATCTTGGATATGAAGGGTTGCGCACGGAACGGCTCAAGGTCGGTGATATGCTCGCCTGTTCCGATAAAGATGATTGGTGTCTTGGTTGCAGCGACGGCCGAGATAGCTCCACCACCCTTGGCGTGGCCGTCGAGCTTGGTGACCAAGATGGCACCATAGCCGGCAGCTTCTTTGAAAGCTTTGCTTTGCGCTTCGGCCGCTTGGCCGATGCTGGCATCCAGCACCATGATGGTCTGGTCTGGCTTTACAGCATCGCTGATCATGACCATCTCGTTGAACAGTTCACTCTCCTGCTTGTGCCTGCCGGACGTGTCAACGATGATGATCTCGAACTTGGACGCTTTGAAGGATTTGACGCCAGCGCCAGCGATGGCCACTGGGTCCGTCTCAGTATACGAGCCATAAAAGGGAATGCGCGCTTTTGAAGCATTCTGCTTGAGCTGGTCGAAGGCACCTGCACGGAATGTGTCAGCGCAGACAAGACCAGTCTTGAAGCCTCGCTTTTGGTAGTACAGCGCCAATTTTGTGCAAGATGTAGTCTTTCCTGAGCCTTGAAGACCGACGAACCTGTGATACGAAGGAAACGATTAGATACTCTCATAGCATTGATGCACCTAGACAGGTCTCACATGATGACGTTCGGTTTTCCTTTTGTGGGTTTGAAGGCCTCTACGCCCGGGTCGACCAGCAGCACAAGATGATCGTAGACAGCCTGATCTCCAGCAAGGGGATTGCATTCAGCTCCTGACTTGAGACTCGCATGAGAGCAAAGACGACACACCTTTTGCACTACATTCTTCCTCTGCATTTCACTCATCTGCTCAGCATTTTTGTCCTTGGCGTTGAGCTGCTCCTTGACGCTGCCTCGCACTCGATCACGCAAGCTAGACACCAAGCGGACATTGACGTCGCTCTCGAGCAAAGCTGCGCAGACAGTCTTGAGAAGAGCATCGACAGCTTTGTCGTCGATCGTTGGGACGCGATTGAGTTCCGAGAAGGCATTGTTGATGCGCCGCCCAAGATCGGAGAGAACCATCCTGACTGCTCTCTTGGTCAGCGATGAAGGACAAGCTCGGCTGGACAATTGGCTTTCGCACGCTTTCTCTCGCCTATGAAAGTTCAGCACGCGCTCAACAATCTTGGAGGCTAGAGAGCATACAGTAGATCATACCTCGAAGCGCGGGAGGAAGAAACGGCCAGTGGATTGAGTGAGCTTCCAAGATCGAGAGGTCTAGGTATTGGTCAAGGTGTTCCAGAATGCCCGTCCAGCCATGCAAAACGCCCAATTACATGGCACCGAGTTGTATTCCCACAAGCCGAAAGTTGCATGACATTTCCTGAAAGCTCGTTTCGCTGATTTGGTAATAGGGTTGATGCTGAGGAGAGCAATGGCAGTAGTGCCGCGGAAAATGCGGAAGATCCCTCTGCTCGGACGCTCTGAGAAAGTCTCTTGTTGTCTCCGTGCTTCACCTACGCAGGAACAGTACACAGCGCCATGCGTTGAGCACATTGAATACGGCATGTTCAAAGAATCTTTGGACGTGCTCTGAGGGGCCGGTAATGAGTACACCGGTGATTCAACTCGATCATCAGCAGCACAGCCTCGAGCTCCAGGCTTGGACACCTAAGGGTTCCTCTCCACTCGGCCGCTACACCCACCCCGCGTTGTTGGACCCCAGACTACTACATCAGCGATCGATGACTTTGCGCAAGCACTCTCCACACTCTCGATCACTCCCTCTCTGAGATGTGACGCTCGTAGAAGCGGTCGAACTGTCGTACCTGTTACTGGCCGACTCCACCATCGCATCCGACGAAAGCGTTTCAACATGTTTACTACACCCTGGACACATCCCCTGCTGTGCACGTCGATTCTGTTTGCGCAGCCCATCATCTCATCTGTTCCGAATATATAAAACGCAGCCTGCGCATCATTCCATTTTCCACAGTGTTACCTCACGACCCCAATGATCAAGTTTCTACCTGTAGCATAAGTGTTTGATCAGCCAACGAGCCTGTTACCATCCAATATATCATCGACCGGTCGAACCATGTTTCTCAAAACCTACTCCCAGCGCATTTGCCGCCCGTCCCCGGCACCAACGCTAGCTACTCTCCAGGCACACATGACACGTGAGATGCAAAGTGTAGCTGTCGGCCTGCCAGGAGGTATGCAACCATCCGGGCAAGGGCCCAGTACAAGACCTCTGTCGGTCCGCCCAAGCCGCCCTGATGTGTGTCGATTCCCCGCTTAGATTCTACGATGTGCTCTTCCGCTGTCGCCTATTAACATACTTTCTTCGGCGCTAATCCCTACCTCTCACTTGTTGCAAGAGTCGTAGTAAGCCCAACAGTTAGATCGGTCTACCTCTACACGCATGCCAACAAGCAGAACAAGACTGGCTTGTTGCATGAACATCTGCTCGCCACTATCTGTTGGGCTCACGCTCACCAGGGCCAACTTGTAAATACACATTCCGCTCTTCTTCGCCACCAGCAATGCATTGCAGACACGCTCTTCCTTCGTCACCGATACTGTAAAATAGGTCGGTGCACAGCGTTGAGATGTATCACGTGCATTTGTAACAACCAAGAAAGTCGAAAAGTCCAAGCGATGGAGCTCTACTATCAGCGTCGGGTGGTTGAGCATCATAAGCCGCGACTGCGGAAGACGCCCAGCCAGCCTCTGCCCGCCCACTGCGAGATGTTACCAGCGACGTGCAGTGCCCGCTGTATATCCGCAACGAATGAGGTATCCTTGCCCCACGCTATCCGGCGCAGCAGCTGAATGGACGGTGCAGCGGCGCGCTGGACTTGCTCGGGATGCGGCGGGTCTAGTGTTTGGTATGCGGCTTCATCAATAGTTTTGGTGTCCGTATGCTCGGCTTCGTAGAATGATGGGGATGCATTGGGCTCAGATATAGGTGAAGCCAGGTGGATTTCTGCGAGTAGATATGCTAGCGAGAGCCTCCCACGGTGGGCATACCATGCCGGCTGCGAGAAGACTGAGTGTGAGTACGAAAGGATATGCAACCGCCTAAGGTTGTCTTCGACTCACTCCAAATGACGAGTCTTTCCATCCCAGCCTATGTCCTAGCTCGTCTGCTAGTCTCCATGATCGGTGGGCGAGCGGCGCAGGTGTAGGCATACCCGATGGAAGCAAAGAAGAAATGCCCGCGAGATTGGGAGGCAGGAATTGCGAGAGCTGACCTATTGACAAAGAAGACTCGGCGGAAAGGGCCTGTGAGAGTCGATCAGCTACTAAATTCAGAGGGAGAGAAATGAAATGCAGGCTTGCAGAACACCCACCGCAAGCAGATGAATTTTCGCCTCCGCACTGATGAGTAGTCTTTGCTCCAGAGCACTGACCAGATCTCCGTACGATGCAGCACTTCTGTCCATTTCTCGCTCTTTCCCCTTGCTGGTGCGCATAATCGTCTGCGATCTCTCTACTGTAGATTCAAGCGAAAGCTCGTCCCAGCGGTGAAAGAGACACTTCGCGAATGATGTCTCTCCGTCATGTGAAGCGGTCCCCGAAGCGAGGCTGAGGATGAGCTGGGGTGAGTCTTGGAGCAGCCTCCCCTCTTGTGGCGTTATGATGTCGGTTTTCGAGCCACTTGCAGTTTTTCCGCCTCTCGTAGTTACTGAAGCAGCAGCGGCAGCTTGCGCCGCGCGGACGCTGAAGCCGTGAGCTGGGATGTGAGGCACAGACGCTGTCAGAACGCGCGAGCTCAGTGAAGGTGACAATTTCGTGGCTGCCATTGTTCTTGATACTGGAACAAGTCTTAACGAGTTCTACGGAAGCTGGATGGTAACACGGTGCTCGGCGGCCTGAGCTGCACAACCACTTAAACAGACCTGGCCCTCTGGCAGCTGTAATTGTGCGAATGGTCAAGTGTAACCCAAGAGACGGTCTCATCTGTTGAAGCTCCAAAGCTGCGATTTCATCAAGGGGTCTATCGTGATTTCGTCGGCGACTAAAATTAGACCAACCCTACCTTACAAACCGATGCCATCACAGCCACTAACTCCTCAATAATCATCTCCAGTCCCCACCGTGCGTGTGGTGTCCTTGGCTGATGTATCCTCCATCGGACAGCCTGTCTGACCGCACCCCATTTGTGATTGTACATGAAGAGCTCATTGCTTGGCCCGCGGAGCATTGAGATCAAGCAGCTTGAAGAAGCGAGCATCGCTGGAGGTCTGCTTATCAGCCCATCCGGACCATGTCGTATTACTTTTGCATCGTCGGCACGCGCGACAACCCCTTATACGAGGCGGACTTAGCTGCTCGCTCGACTGCCTCGCTCGGGCCGTCGTCCTTCTTCAGCTCGAGTTCTAGCACAGGTCCATCATCCGCCGGACCAGGTTCGGGTTTCAGCCTGCGCAGTACCTCACCTGCGCCGTCTGCTTCGAGCTTCGTTTCGTCCAACCCATCTAGCAGTAGTGTCAGCGCTGGCACGGGCGGTGCGGACGGTGCGTCTCGGAGCAGTCTCGAGAGCGCCTCCACTGCGCCAACAGATACGAATAGCGCAGCAACTTCCTCGGGCGCCGCCCAGAGCTCTTCATCAGGCAGCGTATTCGGCTTTGGCATAGCTCTTGGTGCGTTAGCGGGTGGGTTGAGCGGCCTGGCGGGAGCGTCATCGCTGTCTGCGCGAGGAGGCGGTGCAGCAGGCTCCGGCGGCGGGCTGACTGGGCAAGGGCGAGGACTAGGTTTTGGGAGATACAACGACAAGGATGTCCTCCAGATGGTCGCACTCTCAAGTTTAGATGCTATTGAAGACATGCAGTTCTTCAACGGCGCCATGTAAGTGTATATCCTTCACACTGAAACGAGCAGTGAACTTTCTGCTGAAGCGTGCTTCCGCCATTCACCCTCAAAAGGTACATGAAGAGCGTAGACCGGATAAACGAGTGGACGACATCTGCTTTCCTAGTACCCGGGAGTGAGTTTGTAGCTCTCACAATCAGGAGCTTCGAGTTCCACGCTGATGCTTCCACATATTCAAATTACACAGACGTCAAGTTTCTGATTCTGCACGAGCACAAGCACGAAGACGGCATCCGGAATTTCTTCATCGACGTCTGGGAGCTCTGGGTCAAGATCACTATGAATCCATTCCGAGATATTAACGATCCCATCAGGAGCGCAACTTTCGATCAAAAAGTGCGCGCAAGTGCGCGTCGGTATTTGTAGCATTAATGATGAGCACGGATTATAGGAAACGAGAGTAGCTAGGGTTTCCTCTCCGCATCTAATCGAGCTTTTTGAGTCGAAGTAGCAACTTCGAAACGGTTTCGCTTTTACTTGACGTTGACGATGATCTTGCTGGGCGCGCTGCCAGCCATGATGCGCTTGCATGCTTTTTTAGCATTATCGAAGGCAAACTTACTACCGAACTGGCAAGTGACAAGACCGGTATCGCTATAATTGCGTTTGATTTCAGCCAGGCCTTCAAAGTGGGCTTCTCCGACGGAAGACTTATGCGCCATGCTGCCTAGTCACCAGGGCAAGGCGATCGTGATGACCATGGGCAGGAAGGATACGATGGATAAGAAATTACATTCGTGTCGCATATCGAAGGTGCCGATGTTCAAGTATTTTGGCCCTCGGCTTCTGATAGGCCGGGGATGCTCTGGCAACGTCAAACGAACCGACAGTGTCGAGAATGAGATCAAATTGTTCATCGGCAGCGCCATTTTTGCGCGTAAGCACTGTAATATCCGATTCGCGGACTGAAGCACAATATTGTAAGTGCGGATTTTCGATCAGAGTTCCGTTGGCCATGATCATAAGCAGGGACCGTAAGAAAAAGCCAAGGTGTACAGTCAATGACAGCTTTCGACCCAAGCTCTCGAACTGCATTCATCTTTTCGCCGCTTGCAGTCGCCACAATCCGCGAGGCGCCTTCCGCTTTGAGTATCTGAAGCAGGACGAGGCCGGCGCTGATGCTTCTTCCGGGCTCCAGCATGTTGTAGCCCGCTTTGGCTTTAGCCACCATGTAAAGCATTGGTGGAAAGGAGTAGCAGCCCAGCTTCTTCACCCTTGTCGAGCGAGTCGGGGGTCGGCGCAAGGTGTTAGCACGAGGGCGTGCGTGGAGAGTAACACTCGTGCAGCGCTTAGGTACATCGTGATCAGAACCACGCCCACCATTCACTTCACCGGCTGAAAGAGCGAGAAATGTTCGCTCGTCAGACCGGGGCCGACCAAGAGTATAGCGTCGGACAAATCCGTGACCTGGGTTCGCGGGATTTTTGGATGAATCTAGGGGTATGTGTGGCGACATTCCATTCGGCTATAAAGAAAAACATAGGCAAAGCGATGGGGGAAGTATTGGCTACTCACCCGTCAGCCCGTGTTATAAGCTTGGAGCGCACTCCGATTTCGAGCTGCACTGTGAGCTTTGACTAGCACTTCGTCTTTGCCCATTTGCGGCACGTCGATGATATCTTTAACCATCCTCACCGATGGCAGACCTTCCTTGTGAATGTGCCACATGTCGGCACACGCTGTGGATTTGTCGCTTACCATAATGCTGAAAGATCAGCGGTGTTATCTCTGTGGCTGATGCACTGCGATGCGTGCGGAATGTGACGCAAACTTGCGACAAAGATTGTTCAAAGATCGCAACTGAGGCTCGTTACAGATCCAAGCTCAATGTCTTCAAGCAAATGTCGAAAGTAGGCTTTTCCACAACCTCGAAGGCTTGATAGCTGGAGAATGGATAATCTATGAAATCTGAGATCGTGGACGGTGCAGCGCCGCAAATAGAAGCCATGCCTTTCCATGCATCGGTTCAAGACAATCGCAGCTCGACCACACCCCATGTTCGAGAGTACTGACATCACAGTATTCGTGACACGAGTCCTGAAAATATGAATGACGCTGAATGGTTGAACGCAACCAAAACAGATATTTCAAAGGAGGCCAAAGGCCAAATTTACTGTATGGTGGGCCCAAGACCCAGGTTTCTGGTAAAAGTGGGACCAGAAGCTGGGTGTTATCGCGAACGTTCGGGCGTCAAACCACGCCTGATGCCCAAATAGGCTGGAACAGGTGCAAGTGGCTACGCACAGCCAGCAGCTGTGCTCGCCGCCGAAGCGTGGGGAATTTTGAGCAGGTCCGCCCATTTCGAGCAATTCATCATGGATATCAGACGTAATCAGTTCATTGTTCCCAGGTCCAGTACCCCCCACATTCACAGCCCACGGCGGAAATAAGCCGAGAGGGAACACATGCATCCGTCGGCCGAGAAATATAAAGACTGGCCCCATGAGCTGCGTGTGAAACCTCGATGGGGAGGACCCTGGATTCTGAAACGTTGAAAGGGTGATCGCCGAAGATTTTCCCCGGAACTCTTGTTGCTCCGGCCAGGGGAAGAGAGTGTTGGGTTCATGATGGCGACATGCACCATGCACTCATCGTTTGGTGATGGCTTGATGGCGATGAGCTATAGAGGAGTAGAGCGTGGACTGTTTAAACAGAGAGGTGCATCGAGACAAGCCTGACCATATACAGGTGCACGATAGAGCAAGGAAGTCTGGGTGAGCCTTACGCGTCGGCCCGACGAATGGAATCACCCCCATCATTAATCGCTCTTTCTCCTGTGCCCCCGGGCCGACCAGCTCCAGCCACATCCCACACCGCAGGCATGCCGATAATAGACAAGTCCAAAGACCTCGATGCCCTCTTTCGGGAACAGGTCCGCGTCACACCGGACGCAATTGCACTCGAGGACCGCACCAGCTCGTACACCTATGCAGCGCTCGACGCCAAAGTCGGTACGCTCGCCGCACGCTTTCGCACACGCAACGTCGGCCCATGCAGCAGCAGTGGAAAAAGAGCAGACTCGCTGGTTGGTGTGCTGCTGAGCAAGAGTGCAGACTACGTCATCACATGCCTCGCCGCTCATCGTGCGGGCGGCGCCTTTCTTGTACTCGAACTCGCCTATCCGCCCAGTCTGCTGGCTGAGGTGATCCAAGATGCCAAGCCAGCGGTCGTCGTGACGAGCCCTTCGCACAGCCATCTGATGAAGGATATCCACGATGTACCGATCATCACGCTCGGAGAACGTCAGACTGACGAGTTGCAACCAGCGACGACCAACGACGGTGTTGCTACTGCTGTTGTAGGGGCATGTGCCTCGAGCGCGCAGTACATCGCCGCTTGTGAAGACGAAAATAATCTGAGCAAACTCGCGTTCGTTTCCTACTCTTCAGGGACGACAGGAAAGCCCAAGGGCATCGCAAATCCGCACCAAGCAGCTGTATATTCGTACGATGCGCGGTTTTCCATCAGCGACGTCAAGCCCGGCGATCGAGTCGCCTGCAATGTTTATTTCATATGGGAGATCCTTCGCCCTCTGCTCCGCGGAGCGACCGTTTTCGCCGTCCCGGACGATTCGAGCTATGATCCGATCGCACTGGTCGATCTCCTCTCCGAACGCAATGTGACGGAGACGCTCATGACGCCGACGCTCCTCGCCGCAGTCCTCGCGCGGCATGCGAAGCTCGGCAGCAAGCTTCCCAAACTGCGCACGCTTTGGCTCAACGGAGAAGTAGTCACGACGGACCTGGCGCGGCGTGCGCTCAAAGCACTGCCGAACGTGCGTGTGCTCAACTGCTACAGCGCTAGCGAAACGCATGAGATCGCCTGCGGTGATATCAATGAGATGTTGCAGCGCCTCGATCCAGATGCGGCATACTGCCCCGTCGGCCCGCCCGTCGACGCTACGCACACGTACGTCCTCGACGAAGAGGGAAAATGCGTGGAGCCGGGTACATCTGGCGAGCTGTTCGTTGGCGGCGACTTCCTCGCTCGCGGGTACTTGAACCGGCCTGAGACCACGGCGAATGCTTTCCTGGAAGACAGGTTTGACCCTGGTGAAGGGAACAGGATGTACCGAACGGGTGACTTGGCGCGCATCATCCCTGAAACGGGCTTGCTCGAGATCACTGGTCGCGTGGGCGGCATGATCAAGATCCGCGGTTACACCATCATCCCGGGTAAAGTCGAGAATGCGATCGTCGATTCGCTGCGCGTGAGCAACTGCGCCATCCTCGCGAACGGAGATGGACTTGAGAGGCAGCTGGTTGCGTATGTCGTGCGCGAAGATGCCAAGTGCGGCGATGAAACCCGCCAGGACTTCAACATTGACGAAAACGGGCACAGCCCCGTCGCACGGCACGCGCTTGGGCAACACCTAGCGCACTACATGCTTCCGACACTCTGGATTGAGCTGGATCACTTGCCGACCAACCAGGTCTCTGGAAAAGTAGACCTCAAGAACTTGCCCGCGCCCGCCACAGCGATTGCGGCGGCCAACGCGGCGCGGCAGCGGGGCAAAGCCGATGCGGTTGTCAACTCACGCTCGATTGCCAAGATGTGGGCCGTCTCGCTCAACATCACACCCGAGGCGATCCTCGAGGCCGGGCCGAACGTAAGCTTTTTCGACCTTGGAGGCCACTCCCTCTCGCTCGCGAGCCTCGCCACGCGCATCTCCAAATCTATGGGCGGCTTCGCGGTCCCACTCGCCAAGCTCGCTGGCGCACCGACGCTCGAAGGGCACGTGCAGGCCGTGCTTGACGCACGCGACGGGCACATTGCCGCCGTTCAGGCCGACCTACCGGCCATCTTGGCGGAGGATTCGCATCTGGCAGACGGTCTTGCGCCCTCGTCCGCACGCTGCAGTATGTGCCGCATCGAAGATGCTGACACCATCCTTCTGACGGGCGTCACCGGCTTCCTGGGCGGGAACCTTCTGCACGATATTCTCAAGAACACCTCTGCGCGCGTCATCTGCCCAATCCGCTTCGACACGCCTTACAGGACGGACAGGTCGGCAGCGATGGCACGCCTGCGCAGCAACTTGCTGGACATGGGTCTCTGGCATGAGTCCGTGCTCGACCGCGTCGACGTCGTTCCGTCCAATCTGTCGAGGCACAGGCTCGGCCTCTTGCCGGAAGTGTACGACGAGCTGGCGTCCACCGTGCAGGTTGTTGTCCACTGTGCAGCCCAGGTCAACCTAGTCTACCCGTACGCGGCGTTGCGTGATCCCAATGTGAAAGGCACGCTGGAGATCATCCGCTTTGCGTGTCAGAGCAATGCAACGTTGCAGTATGTCTCGACTAACGGCGTCCTCCCGCCTTCCCAGGTAGGCTGGCCGGAAGATGCGATGACGTCGATCGAAGACGTGCCCAAGCTCCTGCTTGATGGGTACTGCCAGACCAAATGGGTAGCTGAGCACCTCGTCCTACAGGCTGGTCGTCGTGGGCTCCCTGCCCACATCTATCGCGTCGGCACCCTCAGCGGGCACTCGCAGACCGGCTCAGCGAACACGTACGACCTCCTCACTGCCCTCATCGTTGAATCGCTGCATCTCGGCGCCGCGCCCGAGCTCGAGGGCTGGCATGCGGAGATGACGCCTGTCGACTTTGTCAGCAAGGCCATCATCGCATTGTCTAACCATGAAGAGCCGGGCCGCTCCATCTACCACGTCGGCGACCCTCATCCTATCGATTGCCGCCTTCTGTTTGATCGTTTCGAGGCGCTCGGATATCCTACGGAGCGCATGAGTTGGGATGCATGGGTCGCGCTCTGGCACGAAAAGCGCGGGAATGCAAAGGGCGGCAACCACGGCTTCACCGTCGACATCCTGCGCACCGGCATGCCATCCAAGGACACACTGTTCGAGATCACCGCGTTGCGAGACGATGCTACGCGAGTGGCGCTGGGGGATCTGCGGAGACCTGCGGTTGATGTCGATCTGCTGCGCACGTATTCTCGGCATTGGTACGCGCGCGGTTGGCTGCATCGCCAGCCACTTCGCGCGCCTACTAAAGCGGACAATGTCAATGGCGTCAAAGCGAACGGTGTCAAAGCGAACGGTGTCAAAGAGAACGGCGTCAAAGCGAACGGCGTCAAAGCGAACGGCGTCAAAGCGAACGGCGTCAAAGCGAGCGGCGTCAAAGCGAACGGCATCAACGGCACTTTCGACGCAGCGTTAATCGAATCAAATCATGATATGGCAGCGCAACGATCCAAAGACACGAGAATTCTAGAACTGGAACAAGAGGTACAAAGGCTGAAAAAGGAGCTACAGGACATTAAAGCTTCGAGATAGATTTGATCGCACATTCCTCGCAAACTGCCATCATACATCGCGTTTCACGCTTCCCTCTAGAAACGGGGCATCCCACGAGCATTAGAGCTAGACATCAAATAGAACGAGGGCACTGTACTCAAGAAATGAGAGACCCATGTGTTATTGCATTGCGACGCCGTGGGGCATGTCTTCGCGTGCGTGCATGTGTGTAGAGTGGCCGAAGCCTGTAGTCTATGATGGTCTATGTTGCAGAAAGGTAAACAGTGCCATGTGGTATCCTGCTGCTTTGCAGCTAAAAAGTCCATCTTCTTGTCCCCGTCCCATCATCGGTGGCGTTATTGAGGCGTCCCTGTGGTCGCTATGCTCCCAGCCCATCCATAATCTTCTCGATCGCTATGAGATGCTTTGCGTGCCCGCTGGGCTGGCGCCGCAACCGTGCGAGCTCCGGCCGAATAGCGTCTGCGATCTTCTTCTTGTCTTCGTTCCCAGCAAGCTTGATCATACCCTGTAAGACATAGTTTGCATAGGAGTGGTTCATCATCTGCACCGCACCGACAGTGGTGGTGGTGTCATTTCCATTTGGATCTGCAGCCGCTGGCGCTCCTTCAAGCACTTCCGCGAGAAAATCCTGGAAGTATGCTCCTTTCGCAGCATCTGGCGGAAGCGAGGGCGTTATCGCTCTCGCAACAGCAACGACGACCTCGAGGACGTTGGATGCGAACTTGTGCTTTGAGAGCGCGACAAAATGGCCTTTGATACTTTCAATAACGCGCTCGCTGTCCCTCTTGCGCGCTGATTGCAGCATCCAGGAGATGACGTAGTTTCCGAACTGATCCTGCATCAGGTCCGTCAAGTTCTCGTGCACCTCCTCGAGCAACGGCCTTGTTTGCTCCTCAGTGCAGTTCTCGAGCACCCGTTGTAGGACGCGACAAGAGTAGCAGTTCACGGCTAGCCGCGGGACGTTGCCCCTGAACTCTCGCGCTATGAAGTCAATGCCGGCACAGGGGCCGATGGATTCGAGTAGCTTTTGCAGGACGTGATTCGCGCTCTGGTCCTTGAGGCACTTGCCGACGCTCTCCTTGAGCTCGGATGCAAAGGCGACCGTCCTCTCCTCATCGATGTACTCGAGCGCTTTCTGCACCACCCTGCAGCCGTACATGTGCTGAGAAAGCTCGGCAATATTGTCCTGCAGCGCGTCGATCACCGCCGTACGCTGCTCAAGCGTGCCGAATTCGATCAGCTTTTGCACGACCTGTGGATTGGATTGGAATGGGAAGAACAGAGCGGGAAACTTCAGCGCACACAGGACTTTGCGACCGCGACATGAAGGGCTGACCGTACCACTCACATAGTTTCCAAAGACATCCTCCATCATCGCGCGGATGCCGCCGATGAGCTCGCGGAAGATTAGCTGGCGCTCATCCGCTGCCGTGGCGTCCGAGCTGGCGAGCCGTTCCTGTATGAAGCGGCTGCCCTGCTGGTCCGTGCTGAACTCTGCAAGGTGCCCCTGCAAGTCCGCGACGGCCCACTGCTGCCACGGTGTTGCACGGAACTCTTCCAGCAGCGCAGAGCGGGGCGCGCCCAGTGCGTGGGAGCGGATTTCGGTGTGAGAGGGAAGACAATGCAGCAGAGGTTCAAAGTATGCAGCGCCGGGCAACGGTGGGGAATAGGGATATGTGGGCAGGCGAGCGGCGTGGTCGATGTATGACATCAAGCCGCCGCCGTCACCACCGCTAGAAAGGGCAAAGTCAGCAGAGGGAGATGGGAAGCCAGTACCGTTCCTGCGGTGGCTGCCGCGACCGACACGATGGAAATTTCCCCGCGTATTGGCCGAATAGGCACCACGACCTCCATTGCCACCACCGCCGCCCTCGTTGGCATGGTGGTATCCGTGCCTTTGCCCGGTATGAGCGCCGGCGGCGGCCCATGAAGTCTGCATGTAACCCAGCGGAGGCGAAAAAGGCGAAAACGGAGGCGGCACAGCGGCGGCGAAGGAAGTGCCATGGCGCAGTGGATCAGGAGGCGGGTGATGGTGGTACTGGCGCACCGCAGCTGCGGCCGGTGAACCTGTCGAAGGAAAGTATGCTGCAGTTGCCGCTGCGCCGGTGTAGGTCTGGCCGGATGCGAAGCCGTGCTGAAAAGCGCCCAGCTGCGGGTCCAGCCCGGACAGAACGGGTGAGTCGGATGCAACAGGCACTGCGCCATGCTGTTGCTGCTGCGCATGACGGAGAAAATGAAGGTGCGGAGGGGCGGGTATGTACGGCGCCAGCGGCGATTCCAGTGCCGGCACTGGTGTCATGGACGATGACGAGGCGTAACTGTAGAACGCCGCGTCGGGGAACAAGGATGCCCCGGGCGGCGAGGCGAGCGGTGGCGTGGCATGATGAGCAGCAGATGAAGGGCAACCTAGAGGCGGAAGCGGAGGCAGAGGGAGGGGGAAGGAAAGGACATGAGTTCAGCGCGCAAGCAAGCAAGCGAGAAAATCGCATACGAAAGCTCGACGAGGCGCAAAGAAGACGTACTGTACTGGTGCGGGTGGAGCCTCGGATCCGTAAAGGCGCTATGCGCGTAGCCCACCTCACCAGCATAGCCATTGCCGCTGCCGTTATACGCAGCGTGCTCACCAGCGTGCCAGGCGAGCGGCGGGCTTTTCGGTGTCGAGGCGGACAAGGGCTGCGCAGAGGAGGAGGCGCTACTTGTCATAATCGCCATCGTACGTGAAAGGCTCGGCGGCGTGAGGCCGCCGGGGTAGAGGTTCCCTGCGATAGCGCCTGGCGAGAGGGGGTCGATGTGGTGCGCATGCGGGTAGTAGGCGCTGCGGTAATACTGGTGGTGTTGATGGTGAGGAGCACGGCTGGTATCGAGCGACGCGAGGCCATGCATCGGTAATGCAGCTTTGCTTTGCGCTGCAGGCAGAGCGTCCGGCGATCCAAGCGCGGGACCGGGCCCAGCAGGCACCTTTTGCCATTGCCATGGCGGCGCCTGCTGCTCGGCGGCGGGCATGTTCGCCGACGGAGCGTCGCCGTCACCGTCGTCCCTTGTCGTTCGCCGTGGTCCGCCGTCGGCCGTGCCCGCTGTGCCTGCTGGGCTGTGCGGCTCTTGGGTGTGCATGGAGCAAGAAACGATGTGCACGTGTGTGAGCGGGTGAGTGTGATGTGCACACAGCACAGCCCAACCGCAGGTGAAGCACGATGACTCTGTTGTGCTTTGTGCGATAATAAACTCGCGCTCGAAGCAGCGCATCTACAGTAGTAATAATATTACGTAAGCAGAGTACACAAGCCATCGACCCGATCAGATAATACACTCCTGTATGTAACAGCGTCTCATATCATCTGTCGCGGGGACGAAACGAGTCACGTGATTGTCGAGCCGATCGGCTTACTATCTCCTTTCGCCGCGCTGGCAGCACACGAGCGCAGGATATGAGAGAGAAAGCAGAGAACACGGCACGGCGGAGTCGGTCGTGCTTGCAGCGAGAGTGCTCCTTGCTTGCTTATGTGCATGCGTACGTGCGTGAATCTGTGCTACATACGATGAGCGTACAAGACACGCAACTAGCACAGACACAGAAGAAAAAAAGTAGCTGCAAGTCCATACTTAGTACACTGGAGCACACCACGACCCGGTCGCCCAGCCGAGCAAAGCCGAGCGATGCAGAACAGAGTAATGCAGGGTAAAACCACACAAAGCGCCCCGCCACAAATCACGAGCCGCCGCCGCCGACGCTCCCACCTGCAGCAGCACCTGTCGCTGCACCAGCAGCCTCGGAAGGCGCAGGCGGAGCGAAAGCGTTGCGAGCATTGATCATCAGCCAGAACTTCTCCACCATTTCCATCGCTCCGGCGCCCATGAACACGCCCCCGGCGCATTTGTCTTTGGCAGCAGCGTGCTGCGCGTGCACCTTCGCGTACCTGTCTCTCGGTGATGGCGCCGCCACGGCTGCTGCAGCTGCCCCGAGCTCTGCGGCAGAAGCGGCCAAGTTCTCAACGTTGCCGTGCTGTGGCTTCTCCGGCTCCCGCGCCTGCTGCTCCGCCCCCTCTGCACCCGGAGACTCGCCGTATGTCTGCGTCGCTGTAGGGGCCTCAGCCGATGCACCGAGCACGTCAATCGCGTGTGCACCGCTGCTGCCATCGTTGTGCAGAAGCGCAACGTCGACGCCCGTCTGCTGCTTGACGAGCTGCCCAAAAATGAACGAGAACGCAACCTGCAGCGCCACCTCGCTCGGATCGGCAGCAGCCGGCGAAGATGTATATACTGGATCGTGCTGTGATGCTAGCGGCTCGCCCGAAATTTCAGCCGCCGAAGGCGTCTTGCACGACACAGTGGATGGAGTAGAAGAGACGGACACACCAGGCGCCGAGTCGGAAGAGCGCGTCGAGAACGACGCTAAAGCGGCGGCCGGTTTCGTGGTTACCGTTCCCGTTGCCGCCCTTGTCATCGCTCCTGATGCTGCTATAGCTGCTGCCCCTTGGCCCAAGGTGGCATCCTCGAGCACAGCCTTGCCGTCGCCGGCGGAAGGACTGCACGTGATGTCCGTGTCGGTCCAGCTGCTCGCCGAGTGTCGATCCGCATCCACATCTGCATCCGCATCGCTGCTGCTGCTGTCCTCCCCCTCGGTGATGGTCGCTGCTCCCGCGAGCCTTCCGACCCTATCCTTTGACCTGGCGCGATTGACAACCTCAGCGTCATCAACAACGGCAGCCTCTGCAGCGCCACCGCCGCTTGCGCTGGTCTCTTCATGACCATCATTGCCGAGCTTTTCCTCTCTGCGCCTCGCCTCGGCAAGAAAGTGCTCGCTGAGCTTCTGTAGCCCGTCGCGCGCCTCTGGATTGGCATCCTGCAGGCTGAGTACCTTGTCAAAGTCGCGCTTAGCCGGCTCGACCTTGAGCAGCGCGGCGCGACTGACGCCGCGGCGGAAGTAGGCCTTGTGATTGTGTGGGTCTAGCGCGAGCGCCGCGCTGCAGTCACGCTCCGCCTCGGCGAACTTCTTGAGCTTGAGCAGGCAAGCGGCGCGGTTCAGCGGAAAGATCGCCTCAGTCGCGTCGTAGCCGATCGCGCGCGTGTAGTGCTCGGTCGCTTCTTGGTAATCGCCCGAGGCGTACGCTGCGTTGCCTTGCTCCCGCACGGCCCGCGCTAGCGCTTTGCGGTGCGTCTCGCCAGTCTCATCGCGCACGTTCCAGTCGAACAGCGCATCCGTGTTCAAGCCGCCGACAAGGGGCGTCTTTGTGACGCTCTTGCCTCCATCCTTCCCCCCGCTCTTTGCCCCTGAACCACCCTCCTGCTGCGGCGGCGGCTGCTGTTGGTGCGCCTCCTGTAAGCTGCGGATCGTTTCCCGCCGCAGATTCTCAAAATGCAAGCTAAAGCTGAACGCGTCTGCGCCGCGAAAGTTGCCGCCGAGCCACGTGTCGACGGACAAGCCGCCGACGTACTTGTTCCTCGCCGCGGCGTTCGAACACGACTTGCTCTCTGCAGCACCGCTGCTGCGCTTGCTGCCGGGTGGTGTGGCGCCGCTGGCCGTCGCTGCCCCTTTGAGCGCAGCAATCTCGCGCGTGACGACCGAGTAGTACAGGTCAAGGCCATTGAGCTCAGTGAGCGCACGATGGACCTGCTGGACATTCGGCAGCTCGGTGGGCACGATCTCCTTTGCACAGGCCCAGAGCGTGTCCGCCATGTTCTGCCAGGCGGTCGTGATAGTCTGTTTCCAACTCGAACCTCGCCGCCAATCGTCTCCCTCGACCCAGTCGTTGTTGATCAGCTCCTGGATCCACTCATGTAGACTCTGTGGCTGGATCGGCTTTGGTTGGAAGCTGATGCCAGCCCCCCAAGATGTGGCTTTGCCTGTAGTGACAGCCCGCCCGCCGCTGCCTCCGCCTTCTGAGCCTCCATTTCCGATCGCTTTTACATTCCCTCCAGCACCGCCGCCGCTGGTAGTATTGGTCGAGTTGATTAGCGGAAGCACTGGATCGCTCTTTACGCTGTCCACCAAGCGCTCGAGGCAAGGCAAGCACTTGGAGAAGCTGCAGGCGCATGGAGGGCCCCACTGCTTTAGGTCGCGGCCATGCCGGACCGCCAGATCGCATAGCAGGTCGAAACAGTCCTCCGTCGACAGGCGCAGCACGACGTCTCCGAGCTCCTCCTCGCATGCTAGACGGATCTGCGAGCGGATACCCTTCCTCGTCGCGCCCTCCAACGATGCGAATTTGATTTGCTAGGGATAAGCATTTGTCAGCGAACAAAATCAACATGCTGCTTTTTGTCTCATTTGCCTGCTTTGTCCGAGGCTCACCTCTGGTGTCAGGCCATGTTCCACAAAGCTCATGATCTTGTCTTTTAATACTTGGTCTTGTAGGCTATATGAGCGAGACAAAGAAGTATGTCACATTTGCTCAGTCTTTCTGGGCTAAGCTAGCAAAGCGAACATGTTCTCTCGCGCGACTCACTTCTGTATCATTCCCTTGAAGAGGGAAGGAACAGCGACCTCAAAGCTAGCGCTGAAGAGCTGCGAAATGGAACGCGCTACCTTGCGCATGCGTACGACCGAGATGTTGGTGCTGCTTTTGGGTCGATGCGATCCACAGGCGGTACAAAATCAGGGCCGGAGCAAGAATAGGAGAAAGTTCCGGGACTCACTGGTCACAGACTTCATATTCATGCGCGTCATCTTCATAGTCAAGCGAGGTGGTGCCATTGCCAACACGCTTAACGTGGGCGTGTCCTCGCGTGCCGCTGCTGCCACTTCCCAATGAAGCTACCGCGTCGGAGGCAGCGCCTGCTGCTCCGCCCCCGCTCAATGCGCCACCCGCAGGAAGAGACCCTGGGACTTGTATAGGGAGCGTCTTCGCGGCGAGGCGCTCGCCTTTGCGAAGTTTATTTTTGCCGCGTGCCATGCTGGCCGATGGATGTTGCAGCTTAGGGAGAGGGGGGGAGAGATCGATGCGCAACTTGGAATGCTTCTCCTCGCGTGTTTCCCGCTTCCCTACACCGATGCACAGCGTGTTCAGTGAGGGAGCGAGCGGCCTGTGCGTGATGCACGAGCAGGCGGGCACAGACAGAGGCCGGGATGAATGAATGGCCGGGGAGGATGAAGGATCGCGTTGTAGAGATATGAGAGGGTATCTCCATAGGAAGGGGGCGTCGTTTAAAGAGGCAGGCAAGCAGCGCGCAGCGGGGCGTGGCCTGCCCCATCAATATACACACTGCTGCAGTGCCCAATCCACGACGCGTTCTGCTGCGGCCAGATCTCTCCCTACCAGCAACAATCCATACCAAGCAAGCAAACAGAGTCAGCAGACCGACGAGATCGCCTGCTCCACGGGGTCAGGAGCGCAACAGCCGGCGTGGTCTGACGCGGGATGCGAGACCCAAGCCAGTCCCCTAGTGTGCGAGGCGTGGGTGCCGCCGATTCGCCTAAGGGTAGCGGGTGCTACGCGAATATGGTGCTCATCTGTCTGAATGGTGGTGAAGGGGCGGAACCGCGGCGCTTCTCACATCCTCCGCAAGAGAGAGGACACGCGGCCAACAGACGTTGCCAACCCAACCAACACAACGTCTATGTATACTTAACTTTGCTTTGCCCCAGCGTCCATCGTCAATCCATGCCTTCTAGCTGCACGCAAGTCAACGAATACGATCGACTCCCTGGACGGCATACATCTGCCTTACTGCAACTAGCATCAGACCGGCGCACAACCGAGCGGAGGGAGCGGATATCGAGCGAGTGCACAGCACGCCATACATTCTCGTCGACTCGCCCTTCGAAGCCAATCGCCCGCCAGGATGGAGGAGATCGGCATCGCCTCGTCACTCCGCATGACGGACCCGACATTCGAAGATGCTATTGCAGAAAAACAGGCCGTACATCAGGAGATGGCGCAGGAGGAAGACACATTCTTGCGATACAAGAAACTGCAACGGCATCTGGACTTTTTGAACACGATGGAAGATTATGTCGTGAGTGCTGAGCGCGACGCGCGCGGCGACTGGTTGCTTCACTGGCCTCTGGGACGAGCTGGGCTGGGCTGGGCTATAGCTGACATTTCGCACGCTTTGCACCGGTGCCGCTTCCAGAAAGACGAGCAGCGAAATCTAAAACGCGAGCTGGTACGAGCACAAGAAGAAGTCAAGCGCATCCAGTCCGTACCACTCGTCATTGGGCAGTTTCTCGAGCCAATCGACCTACACACGGGCATTGTAGGCAGCACGACGGGGTCCAACTACGTCGTACGCATCCTCTCCACGATCGACCGCGAGCTGCTCAAGCCGTCATCCTCCGTTGCGCTACACCGGCATTCAAACTCGCTCGTCGACGTCCTGCCGCCAGAAGCCGACTCCTCGATCGCGATGCTAGGGCAGGAAGAGAAGCCGACCGAGACATACGCGGACGTCGGCGGGATGGATGTGCAGAAGCAGGAGATCCGCGAGGCAGTCGAGCTTCCTCTCGTCCAATTTGACCTTTACCGGCAGATCGGCATCGACCCGCCGCGCGGCGTGCTGCTCTACGGCCCGCCGGGGACAGGCAAAACGATGCTCGTCAAGGCAGTCGCCAATGCGACGACTGCATCTTTCATCCGCGTCGTCGGGTCCGAGTTTGTGCAAAAGTACCTCGGCGAGGGCCCGCGCATGGTTCGCGACGTGTTCCGCCTCGCGCGCGAGAACGCACCAGCGATCATCTTCATCGACGAGATCGACGCAATTGCGACGAAGCGCTTCGACGCGCAGACTGGCGCCGACCGCGAGGTGCAGCGCATATTGCTCGAGCTGCTCAACCAGATGGACGGCTTCGACCAGGGTTCCAACGTCAAGGTCATCATGGCCACTAACCGTGCGGACACACTCGACCCAGCGCTCCTCCGCCCCGGGCGGCTCGACCGAAAGATTGAGTTCCCGTTACCCTCGCGGAGAGAGAAGCGGCTCATCTTCCAGACCATCACCGCCAAGATGAACCTCGCGCCAGATGTCGACCTGGAGGACTACGTCGGCCGCCCGGACAGGCTGAGCAGCGCGGAGATCGCCAGCATCTGTCAGGCGGCCGGCCTGCAAGCCGTGCGCAAGAACCGATACGTCATTCTTCCCGTCGACTTTGACGAGGCGTGGAAGCAAACCGTCAAGCGCAGCGACGATGGCAAGATGGAGTTCTACCAGTGAAAGGAAGAGCCATCACGTCGCAATGTCCGTGCGCCCTTCCTGCAATTTCCTCAGTGCCTCCCGTTCGCGCGCCAGTCTGACACATGCTATTTTTCCATGTTACAGGAGGAGCTGGGAGACGAGGCACGATCATATGTATTCATACACAGTGCGTGCTTCCGTTTTGCGCCACACCCGTTTAGTGTATTCGCTGACAAACCCCTGATCTCGGCCGCATCTTTTGGACAGCTGCAATGCAACGACCAATGAAATTCACATCCGCGCACCTGTCGCGTTCGGTAAGGGTGGGATCCGGGGGCGCGCATCCCCACAGCGTAAGATCTCAACTTCCTCTCTTTCTTCGTCCCTTGCCGTGTCCCAACCGAGGGATTCGTGTGAATAGGGTCAAGAGTGACTTGCTTAATCAGAAAACATCAGGTCAGTAGATGCGAACGCGAGCAGAGACGGCGAACCGAAAGAGAAGGTAGGCTGCATCCCTTATCGAGTCGGGTGTCTCGACTTGAACAGGCCATAACGAAGCCATTTCTTTCCGAGCCGCCCGGATAAACCCATATTTTCCCCCTCTTCCCCGCGCACATACTTATCGTCCGCAGCGGCTCTCGTGCCAATCTCCTCCATGCTGCTGGGCGAAACGGACGTGCGCAAGAGAGAAATACCCTCCTTTACTCACAGCGGCATCGATCCTCCGTGGTGACGTCTGTCCTTTTACAATTGCTCTTTGGGTACATTTTTTTTGTTTCAGCAAAGGCGCTCGAGATGGCCTCCGTGCTAGCAGTGCGATACGCGCTTAGAACGCCAGACTCGTGACCATCCATATGCATCAATGCTGCAGAGTGCGCCAGCTCTGCTCTTCATGTACATGTCATGTGCGAGCATGGCGGCTTTGACGGCCAAGGCAAACAGCACACAGCCTTGTGTATCGAATACAGTTCATCTGGACGGAATAGAACCGCATGGATGATGCGATGCTTTGCTTGACGACGGTCCGTCTTAAAATTTTGCTTCAATTGTGTACACGCTAAGAAGCATTTGAAATTTATCTCATCCATGGTGTTATCCCAATCGCCGTTCTCGTTATGTGGCAAGACCGGTTTGCGGGCGTACATATAGTTGAGCTGAGTGGACAACTCGGTATGTTCTCAACCCCGGTCGACCTCAAATCCTCACCTGGCTTACCAAATGCGCATATCATGGTCTAGCCCCCAGCCGTACAGGATCATCGATCAATGGACGAGTGCGCGAGTAATTGTTGTGTTTGGAGAGAGCATCGGAGACTTTCTGCCGGCGTGTGGCGCACTGCACTCCACTTGATCTTCATCCGTGCGTACATATTTCCAGCAGTTGACTGGGTTGGAACTATGGAATCAGCCTCTATGTACTGCATGAAAGATGGCTATGGACATGACATGTACAGCCAGCACCGGTAAATAGTAGCAGCATCGCAAGCCTGTCGTCACAGAGCTTTGTTCGGGGGAAATCAGCGTTCAAGCGAGTCGGTTGCATGCTACCGCTTTCCGTCTGCTGCTCATCCATTGCCTCTCGTATACGCACACGCCCAGACTGCGTGCTAGCACTCGTTGGCGGCGCGTGCCTTCATTGTTGTCCCTGAAGACGATAAGCTGCGACAGCGCCTGCCAGCGAGACTATGAGAGAGGAGCTTGGCGATACAGGTGCATAGCAGGGGACAACCACGATGGAAACAATACAGAAAGAGCTGGACAAGCTGCACAAACGTCTGCCGGGCCTCGTCGAGCCGACGACACGCAAGCCGCCCAAGGACAGCAGCAGTAATGTGTTCCATGCACTAGATCGACTCATCGATCGCCTTGAAGCAGCACACCAACAGCTAACTCCGCATCATCAACAACAACATGCAGATGGTGCAGCGATATCAAGTGCAAGTCCTTCCAGCACGGCAGCGCTCAGTCACGTGGACCTCAACGTTCTGCTCGCCGAGCTGCGCTCCGAAGTTGAGTTGACGCAGCACAATGTGGCCGACCGACAACGGGAGTTCTACGGCGCACTGAGCAAACTCGGCAAGGCGCTCGAGAAAAAGTTTCCCACATCTGCCTCCAAAATGACCGACCCGGCGCTCTTCTCGAGCTTGCCGGCGCAGCATGCACTCGAGAGCGTCGTCCTTGAGCATTTCCTGCGCCAGGGGGACTGGGACTTAGCGAAGTCGTTTGCCGAGGAGGCGCACATGTCCATTCCGAGCCAGGCGGCGGCGAACTTTGAGGTGCTGCACAGCACGATACGTGCAATCATGGCGAACGAGCTCGACCCTGCGATCGTATGGGCCGAGCGTGAACGCACATTCCTGACGGAGCGCAGCAGCATCTTTGAATACGCGCTGCACCGCAGCCGTTTCCTCCATATCGCGCTCGGCGTTGATACACGTGAGCTGGAAGGCATGATGCCCGTGCCTGCCTCACAGCAAAGTGCGGCCATGGCCCTGGAACCCAGCGGCATCAACGCTGATCCAGACGGAGAGATGGTCGACATGATGGAAGAGTCTGTGTATGATCTGAGAACAGGTGCTACGAACGCGGCGGCACCCGCGAGCGATTGGGCGCACACCAACGTTGACCGTGCACTCTTCTATGCTCGGCGCCACTTCAACTCGTTCTCTTCGCAGCATCTACCAGAGATCCAAAAACTCCTCACACTGCTCCTCTTCATGCCTGTGATACCCATCAAAGTCACGAGGCCAACAGGAAGCACGGATCCGGAGCCATCAGCGCCCATTGCTTTGGAAGACGTGTTAGACTTTGTACCCGCGCCATACCGCGTCTTCCTCGACTCAGACAAAATGCACGCACCCTTCCTCGCGCCGCTCTTCAAGGCAGAGTTCTGTATGCAGAAGGGCATCTCCAAGGACCCACCGTTGCGCGTTGCGGTCGACCTGGGTGCTGGAGGCGCCTTCAACAAGATCCTCAAAGTGCGAACGGTCATGAAGGAGAGCGGCACGGACTGGAGCCAGGCGGACGAGCTGCCGGTCAGTAGACTTGAACGCGGAGGACTCTTTCACTCTGCTGAACCTGCATCCCTCCCTTTTCTCATTTTCCGCAGATCGAGATCCCGCTGCCAACACAGTTGCGCTTCCACAGCATCTTTTGCTGCCCCGTCAGTAAGGAACAAGGTACAGACGACAATCCACCCATGATGATGGCGTGCGGGCACGTCGTTTGCAAGGAATCGCTCAACAGGTTGAGCAAAGGATCAGGGTGCGTGTATCCTCTTCTTAAACTTCGTCCACCAGGTTGCAACAGCGACAGCGCTGCTCTGCGCTGTGGCAGTGGTATATGTAGGGTAATAGCCTTTCGCTGAACTTCTTGGCGCCGTCACAACCGCATCTTTACCCGCAGGGAGTACCGCAAGGTCAAGTGTCCGTACTGTCCGATCGAGTCGACTGTCGGGCAAGCGATGCGCCTTTACTTTTGACTCACGCTTTCTTTGCCTCCCGCCGCCACCCTTGGCGTGTAATTGTACCTTCTGCATTACTGTTGGATGTAATGCCGCATTACGCTATGGACTTCGACTCGCCTATCCTACATTCTTGCACGAATAGGAAAGACCTGCTACTTTCCCCCACGGTCGTCGAGCGCATGGAATGGGATGAGCCGGCCGTTGATGTGCGCGAGGTAGAGGAATCTACAGGTCAAAGGACGAGAGCTTTAGTATCAACGTGGGAGGGAGGGAAAGAACCAGGATCCACTCACGCTGCCATCATGACAACGTAAACTATTTCACATGCGAGAATGCGCCATCAAGGACGAACACAGCGACGTCAGCATTGGTGGCCTCCTGCATCATGGCTACACGCTCCGAGCTGCATCAGACTGTAGACTCACGTCCGAAGGATGAAGCCCACTGGAAGAAGCCCTCTTCGCCTTTTACGTTGCCCATTTTCTCCACTTCGCGCAGCACGCCGTCGAGGCTAAGCGTCATGCGCTCGAGCGAGAATAGTATGCGCACGCGCCTTTTGGCGTTTTGCTCGATCTGGCGCCTCACTTCATCGCGCAGCTCGTACAGCGCGACGATTGCACTGGCCCATACCATCTTGTTCGCTTGTCGCAGCATCCCTGTGCCGCTCTCCACCGGCGCGCCAAAGTCCGAGCCAATGTCCACTACGCTCTCAACGGGCCCGCCAGTGTTGGTCGCAAGTACAGGCAAACCGCAGGCCATGGCTTCCAGCGGCACAATGCCGAAATGCTCGTCCGTCGGAGTGTAGAGCAGCGCTTTAACGCATATGTTGAGGAGTAAGGCATGCAGCAGGGCGCCTGGCAAGGAAGGCAAGAAGACGATTTGCGCTTTGGCGAGGTCATTAGCCGTTGCAGTGCTGGCATTAGAAGCGGGTTCCCCTTTTTGCAAGCTGAAGCGCAGCGTAGCGCTTGAGAGCCCAAATTTCTTGCACTGCTTTTGCAGCTCATCCAGTGTCAAGACATTATCTCGCACACGGTAATCGTATCCGCCTGCAAGGATGAGTCGCATCTCTTGCGCACATTTGTCACCATGCTTTTCGCCCACTTCCTTTAGTGCCAAGGCAAAGGACTCGAGCGCGAGCGCTACATTCTTTTTGGCTTCAAACCTGTTGATGGAAATGAACGTCGGTCTTGAGGTCGAGGCGTCAGTCAGCAGATTGCGAATGAGCTTCTGTTCTGATGTGCTGATTCCAAGCGCCGCAACACCTTTCTCTACAGCCTTGGCGTCGTACGCATAGACATCGATGCCTGGGTAGAGGACGCGCGGCTCTCTTCGCAAGCGATAGAATGACCGAACGAACTGCCTCTGCGTGAATTGCGAATTGACCAGGATCTTGTCTGCGGCGTCCGTGCAGCCTTCTTCGTAGAGGTCAAACGGCAGACGGTACGCTTTTCGGATGATCGACGGGCCACTCTGCCCTCGATCCCTCGCGCGTTGGAGAGCGATGCTGTTCCCAATCTCCTTGTCAGGGTAGTGACAATAGTAGATGACGCGAATGCCTGCAGCATGCTTGAGCCAAGGTACCCCGGCGGGCACCTGGTCCATGAAGATCATGTCGAACGCCGGCGTCGGTTTGACCGAGGAGAAGAGTGGGTAGAGGAAGGAAGGGATGGTGGAAGGGTAGTGGAATGCAAGAAATGCGAACAGCAGTTGAAATGTAAGCGAGAGGGACTGTGCAATGGCGAGAGGAAGGTGGAAGATGTTGAAGATGGATCTTGGGATGAAGGTCTTGACGACGCGAACGTCGAGCATGCCATCTTTCGTCGGTTCGAAACAGTGATTCTGGTCATGGTAGGACGTATAGATTGTCACTTCATGACCTAGGCGTTGCAGACCCAGAGCGGCATCAACGACCAGTCGTTCGGCACCACCTGCAAATGGACCAATGATCGAACGGTAAGCGTTGAACGCGGTACCTACGTGTGCATATCGGGAAAGTGCAACTCGCCGATCCCCAGATCCGGATGGATGAACCCGATGCGATACTTCCTCTCCGGGCTCTGAAGGAGGTCTTTCATCTTTTTTTTGAGATCCTCGTCTTTTACCTGCAACAGAGAAGCTGTCGCCTTGACGGCATCGGTGGCGGACGGCGCAGCGGCCTGAGCACCGCCGCCGCTTCCCTGCGAGTCAATCATCGCTGACCGTCCTGAACCCTGAACTGGAAAGTTGCCCTTCCTTTCAACCTTTCAAGACTAGTATCGGCGGGCAGTCTACTCCGTAATGTCCGAACTCCAGGTGTTCAAACTCGAGCGAAGCGCGTGTGTCTAGACAAATCATTGAAGCTGCATGACTTCAACATGATCCTCCCAAACTCCAGAATGTGAAGCGTCTTTCTCCTGCCCTTGTGGGGGTGATCGGCTCACATTTATCATCATAGTAAAAGTAGCTTAACGAGATTCTACCCCCCTTTTAAAATGCTTCCACTGTTCCACATCAGCATCAGACCTTTCGCTATTTGCAGCCATGGTAGGAGATTTGAATGGTTATGTATAAGCAAAAATTGTGCAAACCAATCCCGTGTGATCGTGCAACTTCGTATTAAAGTTTCATATCGTACAGCGTATGCACCTTACTCTTGGACCCATCATCATACCGATGCCAGGTGCTGATGCGCTCGCCCCACTTGTCAAGCTGGATGACGCGCGCGCGCCGCTTCAGGTCCGCGCGGCCGTAGCCGGCAAAGGAGCTGCCGCCCCCAAAGCAGATCCAGACGCCCTGAACACGTCTACAGTCTTCGTTATTGTGCATGTGCCCGTGCACGATCAGCTCGACGTCGCGCTCCGAGCTTGCCGTTAATGTTGATGTTGCTGACGCTGCATTGAGCACGGCATCGAAGAAGCCGGAGCGCGCCTGTCCGCTCTCGATGTCAATTTTTTCGTGTCGCTCGCCGATTATGAACTTATGACCTGTATGCGGGTCCTTGTCGACGGTCCCGTTGAACGCCTCGGGTAAGGGTATATGCTGGAAGACGATTCCAGTCGGCTTGCGCATTGTCTGCGCTGGTTCGGATGTCGCTCGCCTGAGGCGACTCTCGAAACTGTTCATGATATCACTGCGGCTCCATAGCCTGTCAATGTCCTTTCCTCTGTCTGGCTCGTACGGACGGATGATCTTCTTCGCCTTTCTGCTCAGCTCCTGGAACCACAGGATTTGCGACTGCTGTATATAGTCGTAAACACTAACGCCGTCGCCTTCCTTCGACTTGGACCCTCCGGTCATGATGTCCGGCAGTATCGTCGCCTTCTTTAGCACTTTAGCACCTGTGTCCATAAAGTAGAGCGTTGCAAGGCGGGTCTTGTCTGGCGTCGGCGCGTGGAGGTGAAGGTAAAAGTTAGAGCTACCATGAATGTCCTCAGGCCCAGCGATGGTCTTGCTGTACGGCATCTGGCGCAGCATCGATTGGAACTGCCTGCGTGAGAGGAAGCCGGACTCAGAGTCATGGTTACCCATGATGGAGGCCCACATGATCTTGCGGTCAATCATCGGCTGGATGATCTTCATGATGACGCTACGCTCGTCCCAGCTGGTGCCTTGTCCGTTAAGCTGATCGCCAGAGAGCACGACCAGGTCCGGCTTCTCCGCGTCGAGCCATGCGCCGACGCGCGCCATCGTCTCGAAGTCACCAAGGCACTTGCCGGACGAGTATTTCCAGTCGAGATGCTCGTCTACATTGCGGCAGGGCTCGTGCTGGACGCTGTAGTGAAGGTCTGCCAGCTGCAAGATCTTGAACGTGCCGTCCTTCTTGAACAACGGATATGGAGGCAGCTCGGGCGGAGACACCGGCTTGCGTCGTACTGCGAGCAGAGCCCCTGGAGACTTGGTCGCTTCGTTATTTGGCATGATTTCCCCCGCTCGTGTAAAGCCTGGCAGAGGTTCGTTCGGGCCGTACTGTGAAAAGCATGGATATCAGATCCGGTACTTATAGATCTTGAGGGCTGGCGCGGCAAACCTACGATCACGTCAATCTCGGTTATGGGCTCGAGGTTTGCATCTTTCCATTGCCTCAACCCTAGCGTCTGATTCCGCGAAGCCTGGAGAGCAGCGAGCGAGCCACCAGTGCGATAGTAAAGATGCGCGGAGCTCCCTTTAGCGAAGAGCTGCATAAAGGGGGATCTAATATCGTGCTTTACACGGTGCCAACCTTCTTTGCGTTCTGGGGGTGTCTGACCCTTCTCGACAATGCGGACGTCGACGATACGCGAGCCAATGTCGGCGATGCGCGGACGACGGTAGAAGAGCCAGCGCTTCCCGAACAGGCTGTTGAGCTTCCACAGCGCGCCGGCGCCGACACCGGCTTGGAAGAAACCACCACTGAGCGGCGCAGTGTTGCTTTTCTCTGCGCTATTGACCGTACCGAGCGCCATGGCCTCGCGGCCATTGAGGGCTCGCTTGACAAGAACCCACTTGCCGAGTCCCACGTCTTCGCTTGCCGTGGATGGCGGCTTGCAGGGCAACATCGGCCAGCACACCTCGATCGTCAGCTCGGTTAGCGGCACTGCATTCGGCAAGAGCGGGGTGTATTTGTCCAGCGGAAAGGAAGGGCCGAATTGAGTGGAGTCTTGATTGAATGAGGCTGTTGCAACATTACCACCGTCAGCGGCCGCGAGGGAAGAGCTGCGTATCGATTGGAATTCTTGCCACCCGATCTCTTTAGAAGAATGATACGGTATGACTTCGTGCCAGTGCCGCCATGTCGCTGTGCGTAAAGCACAAGAAAGTGGACGGAACCAGTCCCAAGGTCTTGGCAGGTCAGACGTGCAGCCTCACATCTCCCACAATCCACAAACGGCTACTCACAAAGCAACAAGAGGAAAAAGACGACATATGCACCGAGGATCCTGCACAACATGAACTTCCCTCTCCTCCTCCTTCCGCTTTGTACAGCATCATCGTCGCGCATTGAACGTGGCAAGACCGGAGTGTAAATCTCACCGTCCTGTCGCTGAGGCGAGGTCAGGTCCCGCAATCTGATCGCCATGGTATCCAAGCACCGCGTGTATACCACGTTGAGCAGCTTTCAGGTCAGGGGCGAACTTTGCTCTCTACGATGGCATCTCTGGCTTTGTGTCGCCAGCATCGAGGGGCAAGCGCTCTCAAGGGCAGCCCTTCGTCGTGACATCTCTGGCATCCACGCTGGCCTTTGCAACTGTTGAGGCTCGCGAGCGAGGTATTTTTTCCCTTGCATGCTGATTTGTGGCGCACCAACCATGTTGATCCGCGGCTTAGCAGGTGTAATAGGGTTGCCAATTCTTAGGTTCACGACACCTCCAGTATTTGGACTCATTCAGAGTTCTCGTTTGGGAACGATCAGGAACCCGTGGGATCTTGCCGTCAGGTTACCATTCTCGACAAACTTTCCAGCTTCCTCCGGGGAAATGAAGCTGGATTCCCAGGATTTGGGGGATATTCCATCAATTTATGCTCTACATCCATTTCTATCGCTAGGGTAACCTTAATAATACATTGCTGACTTGAGCCCGGAGGGCAAAAATGCAAATGGTACTACTATGCTTTGGCAAATCTCCGTTTGATAGCCTTTGGCAACCCCCCCTCCCACTGCATTGCATAGGGGAAAGCACCGCACCCTTTCATCTTCCCTTCCTACTGGCACCGACGTGGAGGAATCTGCAACAGTACCCGGTGGATAGGCAAACGCTCAAATACCGGCCATCGCCCGCGCCCCCACTAGCCCACTCCGCACTTTCTGCTCAAACAATCCATCGCAGAGGATCCTTGGCACGATGAGCTTGACAAAGATGTATCGCGAGGGCAAGCTGCTTCCCAACCACATTGCGGAGTATGCAGCAACTGGCAGCGTGGACGACAAGAAGCTGCAGAAGGCCGAGTACGGATGTGTGCAAGCCGAGGAGGACAGAAGAGCAGGTCTGGTGCCACGATGATTGACCCCTCTCCGATACCAGTTGACTCACCGGGAGGGTTCATCTTTTCCTTTCCCTTTACACCCATGTATGCCTATGCCACGCTCAAGGGCAAGTTTGCTGTCTTAGACGACGTTCTTCCCAAGCTACCCGAGCAAGTCTTTGACGGTCCCACGTTGCACGCAGGCTGTGACGGCGGCATGGTGCTAATCAAGACGGCCCAGATCAAAAGAAACGGAAGCAAAAGTGCAAGGCGGTGGCGCCTGCCTATGGCATTGACATCTTCTCCGCCCTCGACCAGACGGGCAACCACCCGTTTGCCACGTCCCGCAACGTGTTTACAGAGGGACTCACAGACTCTGTCGTCCTCAATACCGCCAGCTTCCTCGACCTGCCCTTTGCCGACAACGTCTTCACGCTCGTCACGAGCTCCCTGGGATGTGAGTGTGCGGTCAGAGGGCGAGGACGTCTGCTCTCTTGTCGCCCCTACGGCACGCTAATGATAATCGCCCCTTGCCTTGCAGTGCACAACCCACCCACAGAAGACCGACGTCTCGCCATCGTGGAGCTGGGACGGGTGCTGCAGCCGGGAGGCTACCTGGTTGTCCTCGACCTTGCCGGATCGAAGATGACGCGGATGTACGCCAAGACACTCAAGGAACTCTGCTGGAAAGACGTCAAGTACGAGTTTGCCGGCATGGGCTGCGTGTTTGGCATGTGGCACTGTGATATCGTCACGGGACGCAAGCCGGACTGGATGAAGTAGATACCTGAGCACGCTTCTTTCCCGCTTGCCCATGATGTCCGTAACGCCTTTGAATGTGACGAATGTACCGAGCCAGAGCTTTGTCCTTGTCGTGTCCCAGAGTGACCTCCACCGTAGCCTCACTGCCGCGTTTCAATCAAGCAAAAGCTTTGCAGTAAACCGAGAGCAACTCTTTCTAAATGATCATCAAATGAAGTTAAAAACCCGGTCGGATCAAACTTACTAAAACACAGAGACAGAAATATAGCTGTTCGCGCCGTGCTCATTGGACCCTCCTTGCGCGCAGTATGTCGGCAGTGGCAGAGATGGTTGGGGAGCTGAGGGCGGCGGCAATGTGGATGCGCACCTTGTATCAGCGCTTGATAGTGGTAAAGACCTTGACGGCGGTGGGGGAGTTGCCTGCGATGGGAAAAAAGTCGTCATCGCGGCCAATCGTGTCGGCGTCCGCCTTGAGAATGCTGACCCAAATGTCTCGAAGCGAGGTCTCGAGTTCGTCAACGGGTGCTTCGACCACTCTTGTGCGCTGAGCCATCCAGTAGCTTCGTCGTCGCCCTGGTCACTGTCTGCGTCGAAGAAGTCGTCGTCGTCGTTGTCCTCACCGTCCCTGCCATCTTGGGCGTCATCCAGACGAGCGACGAGTGCTTTCCGGTCTACTTTGCCGTTTGCCGACAGGGGCAGGCCGGCATGAAGGGGGACCAGAAGGGCGAGCTGCATGTTAAGGGGCAGCTACAGGGACAGTCTCCGGTTGACGATGGCCAGGCTGGTCTGGGCAGACGGGTCGCTGGGTGTGCTGCGGGCAATCGTGCCGCCGACGAGAATGATTTTCGGCTTCCTCTGGTACGAGGCGGCAAAGGAGGCATCCCACGTCGGGTCCATCCACGGCACCTGTGTCCATCCGACGAGATGAGGCGCACTCTTGTCCATCAGCGTCTGGGCCAGCGCTCCTGCAGCAACTGCGTCTCCAGACACTGCCATCGTCACAATGACTGTGGCGCTCTGCAGCAGCTCCGCATTGTGGTGGAAGGCCACGGGCTGATCCGCGGCGGACCAGGCGACACCGTGCTTGGGAACAAGTTTTTGCAGTTCTCCGCCATAGTCGTGGCTTCCCACACGCCCGGCCTGTACCGAGACAGCAGGGTCAGACGCCGTTGCGCTTGTGTGGCCGGCGACTAGTGTGACCTTGCCAAGCACAACATCATCGGTAGGGGATAGGCCGAGTGGCCTGAAGTGGAGGCCCCGCTCCTCCGATGCACGTTCGAAGTGAAGTGAGAGCCCGTTTCTCCTCGCCTCCTGGCCCATGGCACCGAGCAAGTAACCGTACTCGCAGGCGACGAGATCCGTGGTCGCGCTGCCGTAGAGAAGTGCAACGGCAGGTAGGTGGCTGAAGAAGAACAGCTGCCGAGTTCCTGCTTCCTGCCGTGCCTCTCCATCCGTGTCGTCGGCAACAAGCAGTTGTAGCTCGCCCGCCTTGTCGTCGGCGGCCCAGAAGCCGTTGGCGAGTCCGTCGATGCCGTTGCAGTGGAGCAGGATGCCGATGCTGTATGGTGCTCCCGGGGAAGGGTGGTGATGCTTGTAGCCCCCGCTCGGCTTCGCCCCAGCCACCGTAGCAGCCAGAACGGAGAGGAGGACCTCCTTGGTGACGGGTGCCGGGGAAGACGGGCGCTCTCAGACGACCCCAGAGCGGAACTCTGCGAGCGCCTCGTTGAAGATGGACGAAAGCGCGTCAAGGGAGGGCGAGTCGGTTTCAAAGAGGTAGTGGCTCGCTCGTGTCTCCCGCATGGCGACCAGGCGGTCCGAGACGGGAATGGGCAGTGCTTGTCCACCGTCGACACGGGAGAGGTGCTCAATGCTGCTCCGAGTCGCAAAGGTGGCCTTGTGGCCCAGGCGGTCGAAGTCGTCACTGATCAGGTCAAAGGAGCCATAGGGCGTAACGGGTGGCATGGTGTGCACAGGAGCAACAAAGCCCACCAGGTTGCCGCTCACCACGTCGACGGCGCACTCTCGGACACCATGGATGCGGTGGAGTTGATGGGTGATCTCCTCGAGCTCGATGCGGTGGCCTCGGATCTTGACCTGGTGGTCCTTTCGTCCGAGGAACTCGAGCTCGCCCGATGGAAGATGCCGCGCAACGTCGCCCGTGTCGTACAGCCTGGTGCCGAGGGTGTCGTCAAACTGGAAGGCGGCCCGAGTGCGGTCTGCATCGGTGTATCCATCCGCCACACCCTGGCCGCCAATGAACAGTCGTCCGGGGACCAGCGTGGGCGCAGACGGCAATGATGACGATGCCGACGGTGATGGACATGCTGTAGTCCGACACGGCACTCAGCATCTGGCGACGACGACCAGGTTGACGACAAAGAATCCACCGCCGATGATGATATTGAGAACCGAGCAGAGCTTGGCGCCCCAGAAACCAAACGAGTACCGCGACACGGCAATCTGACGCAGGCCGAGCTGCACAGAGGGGGGAGGAACAGAGTCAGGCGCTGCTGCTCGACAACCGACTAGCCCGCCACATGCGCGTACCTTTGGGGGCAGTGTGCCGTTGTAGCCCGTGCAGATGGCACCGACAACTCTTCCAATCAAGGTGGCCGATTTTTTTTTGACCGAGAGTCAGGCCAAACTCGGCGCCAAGAAGACCGAGGGGAATCACACTGACGTGCACGTTCAAGCTCCACCAGAGGAGGAAGATGTTCCAGATGCTGGCGGTTGCTTTGCCTCGTCGGGGACCCAGTCGATGCCCTGCAGCTCAATACCGACGACACGATCGAGCCACTCTTCACCCTTGCGAAGCTTGCGCAGGACGGTGACGTTGGACTGGATCTAGCGGGTGCAGTGGATCTCATTGAAGCTGCTGCCATCGGCCAGCTCACTCGAGTCGGCCGCATTGGCGTGGGCCAGATAGTCCTTGTCGGGCAGGTCCGCCTCGAAGTCCTTTTCTGTGTGGGTCGACATGGCTTTAGCAGGGGGGGAGCAGATGCCAGGGGAGGCGTGTGCCAATGTCGAGGGATGGGGAAGCAAGGAAGGGAAGGCGAAGAGCAGGGCCTTTTTAATGCATCTCAGTCTCAAACGCCTAGCTACAGGTAAAAAAAAGGTAGCGGGGCGTGCGGGCAGGAACGAAGATACCATCTTAGTGGAAGAATGCGGAAAGACAGGAGAAGCACTG